GAGAACTGTCATATTCCTCCCTGGAACGTCCAGAGCAGGAAAGTCTCCATCTACATGCTGGAGTGCATGTGGACTACGAGTGCCCTGTAGCTAATGCAGGCACGTTCGGTACATCTAATGCATTCAGGACATACGCCTGTCCTGTTATTTCCAGAGCATTTTTTCAATGGGTACACTTTAGCTCCTTCTGAAAGCATTGTTTTGGCTGTACACCAAGAACTTTACCCAGTAAAGTTAGTGCATTCTGAGCCTCCGAAGCTAAGGCTCAGCTTCCCACCACCTGGATGGTCTGAAAACTTCGTGATGTGGATGAGGGTTCAGTGAAATGCTGAGCAATTTAAAAGGATGCAAGACTGGAAGTCAGTGAGACTCTGAAGGGTGGAGCATTGTGAATTGCAAATGATTTTGCTTTAGCTAAGCCAAAAATTTCTTCCTTTCCTTTTCAAGGTCTGTGAGCCTGTGCAAAAGAGATCAATACTGAAAAAAAAATATTATTTTTATAATTAAAAAAAACCACATCGGTTTTAAAAAATATAAATATATATACACACATATTTCTGCCTCAAAATAGTTTGCCAATATTGCAACAAATTTGCAAATGTCTGAGTTGTCTTTAATTTATTCATTGTAAAAACTCCCTCTAACTCCGGCTCCTCTTTCAGAAGCATCGTGAACATCAGGAATTTGAAGTGACACTTATGTATGGAAAATTTGAGCAGAATGACATGGGATAAATTGATAAGAAAATGATTCATTGGGAAAAAAAGCGAGTTATGCTTTTGACTCAAGTATTGATTTCATTGAAAAGTAAGGTTTGTTGCTGCATTTCATCCTCCTGTACTTGCCAGCAAAAACAAGCAGCTAATGGCTGGATGGCAAGCACAAGATCAAGGGCAGGAGTAGCTTTGCAGCTGTGCTGCCCTGGGAATGCATTTTCATTAGTTATCCCTAGAAATGAGTTTGTTTACTTGTGAGGATGTCTGAAGGCTTTAGCTGTGCTCGTGGTTCATGTGTGAAGGCTCCCCTTGTACAGGAATGTCACTGTAGCAAGAGCTGGCATGTCCTCAGATTCGAAAGGCAAATGCACTCATAAAATCTGTCTTCCCAGCTGGGGTTAAAATGCAAAATTTCCTGATCAGGGTGAGAGGACAGCTGCTGCTGTGCAGTGTCAGCACGGAGGGAGCAGAGGCGCTAATTAAACAGCTCCTCCTTCTGAAGAATCAGCTGCCAAACTGAAGTTGGCATCTTTGCATTTAGATGAGGAAATATGCAGCAGCTCTTCAGACCTAGCCAATGAACCAGGAAAAGCTCAGCATCAGCTCACATTTCCTTTATTCTGGTTACAGCAGGCTGAGGGCCCAGGTCTGGCTGCCCAGAGCAGGAAGGAGAGAGTCTGCTGCCCACTGGGCTACTAGGTGACTTTGACAGCCAGGCTCACGTGAGCTTTTCTTACACTTCTCCGGGTATGGCTCCACATCCCTGCTTGGTATGTGGCCTCTCTTGTAGTAGTCAGGGTGCATGCAGATTTCTTGCTCCTATTTGATATCTTCTTTGGGGGACATTAGGGATCTGCTGTGTATCTCCCATCCTTGCTGTGTTTGTGTGGTTAATGTCTCTGCTGGACATACCAGGTAGGAGCCTCCTCTTTAGCAGATGCTGGTTTTAAAAAGCATCTTAAAATACCCTATATCAGGAGTTACTTGCTTAAAATTCTGTTCAGAGGCTTGGCTGGTTGTCTCCTGGCCATGCAAGGTGCTGAGGCCATCCTGGAGGGCTCAGCTGTACCATCTGGGCACTGGAGTGTCCAGAGGACCCTACCACTAAGCCTGGAACAACCCAAATTCCTTGGACCATTTGTACTTTTTTTACCCCCAGGGCTGTCTGCTCTGTGTTGCCTCCAGCATTAAAACTGCATGGAGCAATGTGGATGGGGATTCCTGCCTACACAGTGTGCTTTCTAGTACAGTATCGCTGCTGACACCTGCAGTAGCAGCCAGCTGGGGACTAACGGTTTCCTGTATCTACTTTTAGCATTGTCTGCTGGTATTGTTCACTATTTGGAAAGGTCCAGCAGCTGGGAATCATTTCAGAGCATCTGCCTTGCCAGATCCAGGGATATGAGTCCCACTGGCCATTGCCAGGCAGCTTTTAATGGCCAGATGAAAGAGCTTTTCTCACCCAAGAGAGGTGTCACAGATGGTGTTTGAGAAACACTGGAGATGATAGACTGAGCAGGACGCTCACATGGCCCGTAGGCTTTCAGAGTGCCCAAATCCGAGGGGAGATTTGTTGACGGAGTGGGTTACATCAGAGCTGAACTCAGCGACGTGGCGCCCGTTCAAGTGCGATGTAGTGCAGCCGTTGTGTTCCCACGTGGCTCCGAGCAGCGAGCTATGGAACCGGCTGGCTGGCAGCAGAAAGCTGCTCCTGAACCCTCTCCAGCAGGTGACATTAATGGAAAGAGTCACTACCCCTTCCTCCTCTCATAGTAAAATCAAACATGTCGCTGTTTGTGTCTGGGGAAGATGCTTAGCTGAGAGCTTTTGACGGAAAATTCCTGAGATGATTGTCCTCCAAACCACACTTTACTGACACCACGTTAGTCAGAGCTGAATCAGAGGAGTCAGCGCTCGCAACAGAAGCTGTTCTCCTTGGCCCTCTCAGCTCCCCAGCCTTTCCAACCTGAGTGCCAGTTAATACTAACACTGCAATGAACTTGGGCTCACGGAAAGCTGAATCAAACAGCCTGCTGCAGCCACAAAATAAGCAGGGTGCTCTTTGAGCTGTAGCAGATCAGACAGTAGAAAAATATTGGAGCCTTGTGTACAACGGGTGCCTCCAAACATGACAAGAATTTTCAGTGTGTGATTGCTTGTTTTGCTCTCCCTTGATGAGGATGGATGTAATCAGGGAAGCAGCACCCTGGGAGCAAGTGGGGATATAAAAGCAACGGCCATCTTGCACAACCTGGTGGTAAGTACTGTGCCATTCTTGGCTTTCTAAAAAGTGAAGTCTGTCAGATTTGTTATTTTCCTACAAGTTTGCTACAGGTTGCTGTTGTGCACAGTGAGGTCTATTGCCCTCTTCTAGCAGAGACGCTCCTAAGGGCATGCAGTTTTTAATGGGCCAGGGCCAAGCTATTTCTTTACTTCCTACAAAGCAACAGGCAAGCAGATGCATGCCATCACTGTCAAAAATACAGTCTCTTTTTAATTTCTGTGAATATCATCTGATTTTTATGACCTGGAGCTTACCAGAGGGTATCTGGCTTTGTGCAGCTGCGCCTGTACCATAAGGACCGCTGTTTGTCTGCAATATCCATCCGACCCGTCGTTCAGCTTTCCTCTGTCGTTAAAGCAGAATTTAGTGATTGTATTTGCAGATTAAGCTGTGTAGTAATCGCTAATAAACCTTGACGTTTTCATGGTGACTGCTGTACTCTGGGCATACCACTAACAGTGCTCCTCTAACAGAGCCCTGGCTTATCGTATGTTGATGGTAAGTGCTGTTAAAATGTCAGACACGTGCAGCCTGGTTCTGGCACAAATTCCATGGCCATGTTATTGCTCTCTGATAATGTATATCATTTAAAGTTATAGCGTTACTAAGTGCATTCCTCTTTTCTACTGCTCTCTAACAGCATTTCAGCACCTGACAGACTGTGCCATATCTATGCTGTGACCAAGCACATGGCTGTCAATTACACTATACCAAAATAAGCAAACATTTTCCTGCTGGAATGTTTCCTGACAAATTTGGTTCAAATGCTGTTTTTAATACAGTCACTGGATTACATGTGTTTTGAATGTACCACTGTACTTCAAGCTGCATCACCTCTAGGAAGAGAAGAGCACAGACATATGTTCTGCATATCTACACTGTAAAATTTGTTCCAGACTAAACTCCGGTTTTTTGCATATCTTATTCACATGTTTTTGTTTGTTTTATATTAACAAGTGACCTAAAAATAACACGTGCTTTTTTTTTTTTTTTCATTGTCCTGAAGAAACTGGAGCACCCTGGAGTTTCTTTCGATTGCTTTTTTGGCGTCTAAGCTTTGCGATGAATACCTTTATCATATTTTGTCACTGTGGTGTGACATGGCTACAAATAGATTTTAACATTCTACCAATGTTGGCCTACATGGTAAAACCTAACAGTTCCACGGATTGTGCATGACTTTTAAATACTGCTTTTAAGTAGAGCACTGGACATCTATAGCAGTGGGTCTTCATTTCTCAGCGTGACCACATGTGTCAGTACATTGCCAAGAGTTGCAGAATCGATTGCTCAGGCCTGTTGGAGAGAATCATGTTAATTTTAACTTAGACTTTTTTGTCACTACTTGTTTGTTTTTGCCTGGGTTTGCCTACAGAAGAAATAAAACAGTATTAGGTAGGCTGGTTTCAAAAGCAATCCTGGGTTTTGCAACAGAATTATAGGCTGGCAGATTAAACAGACAGTGTTTTGTTGGATCTGAAATCTGAAAAACTGCATGCTTCAGTCTGAAAGTTTCACTATGATTTTAGCTTGGGGGTGTGCTAAAATCACTTGCAAAAATTGTGTCAGTAGTAAGGGGGAAAGAAGGTCCCACCAAGATGTTCCTCCTCGCAGACTTGTCACTCTGCAAACGCCTTCTCCATTGTGTTTCATTACTTTTTTTGCACTTGTGAATACTCAGCTCTAGAGAGTCTTGAAGCTTTATGTGTTTATATTGCATTCCTAAGGCGTTTTTTAGCTACTTTTAGTGGTTGCTTTCTGAGTGTCTATTTGGATTCCCAAGTGGGTTTATCCTAAACCAAAAGGTGAGAAGCTGCCCTTGGCTTCTTTCTCTACTTGGATTGGTCCCTAAGCAGCATGAAGGTGTTAGTCACTGAGCTGAATGGGAGTGGAAGTGGGATGTCATAGAGCTGGATATGACATTGCTTTGTGCAGGGAATAATTTTTGCATGAGTTAGAAAACAATAAAGACACATTTTCTTCATATTCTGTCTTTGCAGGTATCCAAGGTATCTACCCAGAGAAATCGTGAAGAATGGCTCTACCTACCTCCAAGTATCTGGCTGAAAGCCTTGTTTTTTTTCTTCTAGTAGCGTCTTCTGCAAGCACAGGTAAGTTCTCCTGTCACAGGGAAAAAGGGCACGGTTTGTAACACTGTTTTTAAATAACGACATTATTGGTGTATTTTGAGCAACTTTTCACTCCTTAATCCAATTTCTTATAAGAAAAGCCAAGAACAAGGTGTGAAACCTCAGGAGAAAAGCATTTTTCTGAGTTGCCAATATTCCAGAATTAAAGCAGCTGGAGTGGCAAAGAGTGAAATTTCTCAGCAGGTGAAAGTACCCACAGGAAGCCTTCCGGCTCTGCCAAGCATTATCAAAATCTAGCAAACCATCACAAAGAAATAGCAAAGAAAAAAAGCTCAAGTCCTCATAGCTGTGGCTGCGGGTGGCAAGGATTTTGCTGCAGTGTCCAAGTACAGACGTAGTCAGCGAAAAGCTGAGGTATCCATGCCCTTGGTTTCTGTTCCCTACAAGCAGCCCATTGCCTAAGCAGTTGCAGGAGAAAGGGAAGCTGGAAATACCTCCTGGAATCTAGTTGGTAAATTACAACTCTACATATGAACAACTGCTTTTGGTTTTATTTGTTGTCTCATCATTAGCAAATGAATTGAATTTATTGTCAGTGTATATGACAGTCATCTCTGAGCATCTGTTTGCAAGTCCCATTTTCTGCCTGAAATATTTATTGTTTTCAACTATAATTCCATGTGTCTTCTGGAATGAACCCAGAACAACCCTTTTAAGTGAGAAAAAGTGTGGCTGACATGCAATACACTTCCAGTTTCTGGCTGGCACAAGTAGTGTCAAAATCAGGCCCTGGATGCTGATCAGTATTTGACTCAGAGAACCAAGACATATGTTGCTTGCTCACGTTTAATATTGGTATTTAATTGATATTAATTGAGTCATCAAGGCAGTGATTGGTCCAATTTTTTTGTTTTCTTAAGATATGGAGCTGGTAGAGGAATTTGAGAAGAAACTGAATGCAGGTGCATAATTTTGTTTCTATTGGTGTGGAATTACAGATGTATGTTGAGTTTCACAGTGGTAACGCACAACAGCCTCCATCAACGGCATCAGCACCAGCACATTTCCTTGCATGCGTCCACATTTTCAGTCCTTGCCATTGACTGAAAGAATACTTTCCATGGGGTAAAAACAAACAAAAAATTCTACTGAGTGACAGAGCCAAAATTCTGCTGAAAGCAGGGGATGCATCCCACATCTGTCATCATTGATTTGTGGCTTCTGTACTTTTCATATGGTGGTTTAGTTTTAAAGGATACGAATTGGAGAGCAGGTCAGAGCTCCCAAGCCTTTCTGATTGCAAAAAGCTCATTGTTCAAACTTCCATTGACCCCAGTTTCCCAGGATTAGAAAGGTTTACAGCCTCAGAAAATATGCATGATACATGGGACTTCTGCACTTGTGAGTTTTATCGATTAGAATAAGATTTGAAAGTCACATGTTGGGTGAGATTATATCAGGGAAATATTTTATCTTAAGTAAATATTTTTAACATGAGTCTCTGGGACTCGATATGAGCACAGTTTATCTATTACGTCACTGCAATCTATAACCAAACCCATGCACAGAGATGAGGGAACTCAAAGTCCTTATCGCTTCTGTCTGAAGAAGTTCATGAAGCTGGAGTCTCTCTTGTGGAATTCCTATTGCTGTTTCTGCATGTACTGGCAATTCTCAGGTGTGTGGTGCTTTGTTGAGAGTTTGAGCACTTTTACTTCCTATCCCCACTAAAAACAGTTCGCAAACATATCTCAATATTCTTTTTACAAAGATTTTCAGGCCTCATATGGCACTTTTAGGAGCGATTCTTGTTTTAATTTTTCATCAACCTCTTCCTTGGGCCTGTGAAAGACTTTTTTCCAGATGTGTGTGAACAGACAGAGTGTCACTGTAGGAAGGTCAGAATTCCAGCCTTTTCTCTGGCAGTTTTCTGCAGCATAGCATGTTTTTGCACACTTCCAAAAAACAAAAAAACAAACACAACTATGCAGCTTAAATGGTAAGGTAAGGACACATGTACTCTGCTGCACTGGGCTATCGTTGTGTTCCAGGGAAGCAGCAAAGGGGGGTGCTGAGAATGGAGCTTAAAGATGCCCAGATGTAGAGTTTTCTATCTTGCACTTAACACAACAAGGTAACTGCTCCTCACTTTTATCCAGCAGAAGCAGCTGTGGCATGTCCTGACAAGGATCCTGAGCTAGAAATCTGGAACCCAGGTCACAACGAAGAAAACCGCATCGAAATCCGCAATGGCAGGAAGCTCCTCCTCTCATCTTCAGCAACTGTCCACTCAATCCACATCATGGATGGAGGTAAAACATACTGCCCCCAAGTTGGCAATGCTGGGTGAGGAGTGTTTTCCCCTTCGGCTGTTTAAATCACTCTGCCTCATGCTGGGAGAGGCTCCTACTGCTTCCTGGGAACTGGCTGGCTGCTGGACAAAGCTGGCTCTAATTTGGTACAAGGGTGGGTGGTAGCTGAGATGCTATCAGTTCTCTAGCCATCATAATTAATTATTTGTCATATTTTCTGGAGAATTTACAAAAGTACCTCAGTATACTCATTAATTCCATGTTTTGCTTCAAAAACATTTTTTTGTTGTATTATTGTACTGATAAAATAATGCAATAGTTGTGTTCTCAGGGTCTCTGGACTGGGCAGATAGATATGTGCCTTTTTATCTCCAAGGACAGAGGCAAAGTGTTGCTGCTGACTGCTAGTACAAATAGCTGTTATTCATGTTAACTCTGAATTTCTGTCTCAGTTTTGAGTGAGTTCTCTTCCATATAAATCTTATTTGTATTCTCCAAGAGTTGAACTGAGTAAATAATAGGTAAAATCTTCAGAATTTCTACTGAGAGCTTTTTTGGGGGGAGGAAAGGCAGAATTTTTCAAAATTTCAGGTGAGACCCCAGCTCTGAGTGTAGCACAATGGTGTCACGACCTCTGGTGAGCTGCTGTGTGTTAAAGCAAATATCATAACTCTTTCCACATAGGAAAACTGATCATTAAAGACGATGCACAGCCTATCATTTTGCGTACTAGATATATACTCATTGAAAATAATGGAGAGTTACGGATCGGCAGCGAGATGTGCCCTTACCAAGGCAATGTGGTTATCATCTTATACGGGAGGTATGTATGCACAATGAAATAGCTCATAGCTTTCCAGTACGTCTCTTCCATAACAGGGAACAAAATGTTACTTAAAGTTGCATTTTGTCGAATACGTTATGACCTGTGCTTTGTGGAAAGCTCAGTAGCTTATTAAACAATTTAAATGGCCTTTAATAATATGACACAGTTTTGGTTTTGATTTCAAATCTTACTGGGGAATGCACATTACTGTGCTTGGACATGCCAAAAAAGCAGCAAGTATATTGCAGCCACTCAGGCCGATTAATGGATTTTCCTCAATAAGCTCAAAGCCTAAAGATTTAATTTATTCTGAAATTCCTCCTTCAGCATCTTTTATTTCTGCATGAGAATGACAAGTAGGTGAGCCAAAGGATAAGATGTTTATGCCTTGCAGCTTGGTGCAGGATCTCTCCGATTTTCAAGGATGCCAAACTCATATTTAACAACAAATAAGATCTACCAAATTTTTGCTACGTTAACTTCCTATGGAATTCAAAAAATGTGTTGTTAGTCCTGCGTAACATATAATTTGAGTTCCAGATTGCTCCTGATCTTTTGTAGTTGCTAGAATCATTTCAAGTCATTTACTTACAGTAGAGTGTAAGCAGCTACTGGTTCTTGGGTTTGTTGAAGGAAATGCATTGCTAGTCATGACACTTCTCTGTTGGGACATAACAAAAAAAGGGCAGAGGCTTCTTTACTCTGCAAATCATAAGATAATCTTTTCCTCCCTCTGTGATGCAGAGCGGATGACGGCAGCGAGCCCAATCCCTACTTTGGGCGGAAGTACATTGGTGTGAGTGAGGGTGGCATTCTTGAGATCCATGGCAAGAAAAAGCTGTCCTGGACTTTCTTAAACAAGACTCTTCATCCTGGTGGCATGGAAGAAGGCGGATATTACTTTGAAAGGAGCTGGGGCCATCGGGGTGTCATTGTCCATGTGATTGACCCAAAGATGGGGGCCGTTGTCCATTCAGACCGGTGAGTGTCTTCACAGCTATCTAGATCTGAGAATCTCTGGAAACAGGTTTGGAACAGCTTCCCAGCAAGATCAGAAGCATGTTTTATCATCTACTTCAAATGAGTGCTACTGCACATGTATACAATTCTTTCTAGATCACTCATCTCCAAAACCAAAGAGCAAACAGAGTGTTATTGTCTAGCTATTGTGTCAAATGGACCTTAATCAATTTGATTTAATAGAAACCTATAAGGTATCCTTCCAGAGAAGCGATTTTGCAATGGGATAATGTCATTATTATAAACAACACAAAAGGAATATTTCTTTATACCACTTTTTATTTAATTCTGTAATGCATTTTACTGAAGTAAATTTTTTTTGTATCTTTTTATCATTTTAGATTTGATACCTACCGAGCAAAAGAGGAAAGCAAACGTCTTGCCCAGTATTTGGACAGAGTTGCGAATGGCATGATCCTGTCAGTAGCAGTGAACGACGAGGGATCCAGAAACTTGGACGACTCAGCCAGGAAAGCAATGACCAAACTGGGCAGCAAGCATTTCCTCCACCTTGGGTTTAGGTATGTGCCAGTCCTGCCAGTTCTCCCAGAACAGAGGTTTTATTATGCTTCTCATATGTCCGAATAATTCCACTCTCTCAAAGGCACAAAGTTCTTTCACATGGAGAAAAAAAAAAAAAAAAAAAAAGAACAGGAAAACTTTTCAACAGGAGGTTTTAGCAGTTAATTAGACAGTTTAAGATGCACTCATTGTCTATGTTGGGTATTTTTATTAGCAACTGAGGAGAAGCATATTCGTATTTAAAATGATGTTTTCCCAAGATACTATTCCTACAAGTTAATCATTCCTATTTATTCTCAAGCCATCCCTCAAAGATTTAAGAAGCATATCTGCATACACACATTGGATAGAATGGGTTGAACATTAAGGAGAGTAGCATAATAGCAGTGTAACCCTGGCTAAATGCATGTAGGTATCTATACAGTATATTTGTCATCTTGTCTAATACTTATTTAAGGAGTTGGCAGCACAGAAATTTAGCATGCATGAATTTATGCTGTGGACTGTAAATACTTCTGTGACAAATATGGTGTCTGTGTTGGCACATGCATTGCTGAGAATTTTTGCTACTCACCCAACTGTAACATTTGTATTTTTGGTGTTTATCTAAATTTATATAGGCACTTTTTTCTCTTTTTGTTGTTCTGTGTGTGTTCCTCTGCGGACTCTGCTGTCACTGAGGGGGTCACTGCAAAACATGAAAAAACATATCTGCCTTGCATGGGGAAAAGATTCTGAAGAGCAGTCTATGGGAGCACACAAGTGTCAGTTGGCATGTGCAGATGGAGCAACATTTGGGGCAGTTAATAAAGAGGTTGTGTAAAATACTACAGGGACTTGTGTGCACCAGGCAGTGCATTTCAGAGACACAAAGCTGCAGAAATAGTCTCCAATCACAGCTACCTCCATCAGTCCAACCCTATCTCTCATATACTCAGAACTCTCATTAAAGCCCAGTAGCCTGATGGGTTTCTTTTTAAAGACCAAAATTTTGGATACAGGAAAAAATTTTTGAACATTATACTTTCTTTCCCAATTCTGCAGCAGGAATAAATTGATGGTGTTCCCATATGTTTATAAAAGTAAGTTGTTCTTGATGTTTTTAGGCCACTGTGGTGTTTTAATGCTAGTTTCTCACTTTGCTGTAAATGCTTATAAAGGAAATACATAGAAATTCTTGTATTGAAGTGTGACTTTCAGCACTGCTGCTGTATGTAGTCAGAAAGCTAATCATTGTCATACTATTATCTCTAATACCACAATATTTCCCTATGTAAATAACAGAGACATGGTGGGTAACACAAAGTAGCAGGGGTTGGTAAATATTGTCTCTCACCAGCATACTGGTATGTGCAAAACTATCTGTATTGTGGTGCAAAGTTTAAAAATTGCATTTTTAGGGCTGTTCTAAGTGGTTATGTTCAAAAACTGTGAAAAATTGTCTGAATGGCAGCTGCTGTGACATTTACAGAGGCAGTTAGATGGCAGGGTGGAAGACACACAATTTTGTTGGATGTATCCAGGTTTTTTCCTTATGCAAATAGAGCTTCTGCTTTACTTCACCGTGACAACATTTAGACCTATTGGTTTCCCTTCCATACACCTATACTCTTATTAGGGATGTATATACTTGAAGTTTAGGTGCTTTTAAGAAATTTTTGGAGAATCTTAAAAAAGAGTCAGGATGAGAAAATTGTACACACTTCAACCCATATGGTAAAAGAAGGCTCTAAGGAAGGAAAGAGGATGGATTTTAATTTCTAGCATGCCCATGCATGTCTCACTGCTCGGATTCGGGGTTTGCAGGCCAGTCCAGCGCCCTGTTATCAGATCTTCTCATGGCTGGGATTGACCTTGGGCAATACTAAGACAAAAATGGTGTCAAACCCAGCTACTAATTTGAGATAGATAATTTCTGTTTCATATTTTCTGAGGTGCCATATGAATCAGGCTATTGAGCCATAGGCTGGGCTGTTTTCTCATGGAGGTGGTGGAGGGAGTTACATGGACAAATTCCTATCACCAATTACACCATGTTCAACCAGATTATAAAGTTATACAAATCCCCATTGCTGTAGAAGAGACAACGAGCAATGCTGATTTATGCAAAAAAGGTTCTGTGCTCCTGCCAGAGTTTCAGTTGCTTATTTGCTGAGTCCATAACATTAGGATGCAAGCATAATCTTTTCCAGTGGTGTGCAGTGACTAGACACGGGGTAACGGGCACAAACTGGCACATAGGCAGATCCATATGAACATGAGGATAAACTTCATTACTGTTTGGGTGACAGAGCACTGGAACAGGCTGCCCAAGAGAAGTGGTGGAGTCTCCTTCTCTGGAGATATTTAAGATCCACCTGGATGCTTTTCTGTTCAACCTACTGTAGAGAACTGCAGGAATTTGGACTTGATGATCTCTAGAGGTCCCTTTCAACCCTATGATTCCGATTCTATGATTCTTCTTCTATTACTGTTCCTTTGAAAAGTGAATTTGCTCTTTAAGCATGAGTTTTTTTTTTATTTCTCCAACTAATAAATTAAAAGAAGACTTTTCAGTGCTTGATGACACAATTGTTCTCTTTGGAACCCCACCCAAATAACACTGGTTTGGCTCTGGCCTTACTGGTCCCTTCATTTCGTATAGCCCAAACAGATTGCATGTGTCTATGTGTAAGGGTTGAAAGACTTCATGATTGTTTATGTGATAAACTTACTGAGACAAACAAGTATTGTAACACATGAAATGGAACCAAACTTTGAGTTGCAGAACTAGCTAGGTTCTTTTTTCTTTAGATGATTATTTTGGATTATTAGATTATTATGGAACCCTCATCTTTTTTTTTTGCCATTTGCTTTGAATTTGGTGACCACGGGTTTAAAAAAAAAAAAAAAAAAAGACTTATCTTTCCTGCTGAGTGATAAAGTGTCTTTCCTTTCTCCACCCCCTCCTCTCCCTGGATGGAGATCACAGCCCAACAGTGCCGTTGGCAGTTGGCACAGGCAAGTTTTCCGGCATCTGGCTGGCTGGCAGGCTCCCAGGTTGTTATGCTGGCCGTTTCCCTCGAGCCTGTCCTGTGCTGGGGCTGAGGACTTTCCATTCGGAACGCCTTGCTGTGGGGATGTGGCAGGGCATCGGGGTGGGCCAGTGCTCCCCTGCAGCACAGGGCTGTGACCCTCAGCAAAGCTCAGCTGACGCTGGCAGGGATCTGAGCACGCTGTAGTGACTTTCTGTCAATGTCTGTGTTTTCTTCTGAAGTCCCAGAGTAGCTTGTAACTTCACTTATGCCAGCAGGTGGTAAATGTAAAGTGACTGGTAAGACTCAGGGGTGCATCTTGATGCTATTGAAACGTCTGGGTATTTTCACTGACAAAGGCATGATTTAATCTGTGGGTTGTTTGCTAAATCCAGGGTAAGGGCGAGCCTCCCTCTACCACTCTAAAAGCATATTTATTATTCTGTTAGTCATTAAAAGCTGGTATGCCAGAATTTCTTCTATTTCAGAGATGAAATTCCCTCTTGACCCCCACTAATTGGGTTCATCTCCAGCACTGGGAGGTACTTTAGTCTCTGTCTGCATTGCTTACTCAGCCATGTGTTCATTTTCCAGTACTGCTGATAGCTATTGAACCTACTCAACCAATAACTATCAGGCAGTAATGAACTTATTTCTGAAACAGGATCAGATTTGAACGAACAATTCAGACTCATAAACCTTTGTCTCCATTCAATGTTAAAAATGAGGAAACTGGACACCCACACACTATCTAGGTATTTTTTTATTGCCCTTTGCCAGCCACTCTATTAGAAATTCTCATGTCATTCCAAAGACAATTGTGATATACAACGTTTCAGCAGCTAAATTTATTTAAGCAGAACTGCTTTTTTTTTTTTTTTTTTTTTTTTTTTTTTTTTTAAATTGTATTCTCTATTGCACACACAGAAAGAAAGATTTTCAGTCTCCCCAAGGAGCTGCTGGTGTCCTATGCATCTGTCACACACAAGCCCCCTTAAAGATTTTAAAAGAGAAACGCACTGTATTGAGCAAGGATTTGTCTTTGAGCTTCTTTGTCTTGTGGTATATTTACTGAAGAAATACAAACTTAAGATATTTTTAATTTCAATCAAATTGCCTTTCACATCAATCAGACTGTTCTGAACGTGGAGCTGCTGGGAAACGTAAAAACATTAAGCTATAAAAAATGCTCACCGAGTGCATGGCATAATTTGATCATTTCTCATTTTGATTTTCCAGGCATCCATGGAGTTTTATCACCATTAAAGGAAATCCCTCCTCTTCTGTTGAAGACCACATTGAATATCAAGGTAATTCATGCACAAAATACTGTCTTGGAAGTTACTTGCACTTAAACTTGGTCAATGATGTTCTCATTTGACATTGCTTTACATCAAGCTAAGAACAACTGATGGTTAGAGATATTTAATTGAATGCTCTCTTCATATTTTACTGCTTTCAATTAATGCAGCTGAAGCATCAAAGCGTGGGGTATAACCTCGGTCATCTGAACCATGAAATAAAAGTTTTACACTGTATCAGTGTAAATCCTTGTAACTCAGTTGAGCTCAGCCTCTGCCTCCCTCTTTGACAAAAAACCATGAAACAAGCCCAGTTCATACCAACTGAAGATTTAATCAGTTTGTCCTGCATTGGTAGCCTCAAAATCTCTCCATAAAACCACTTTGTTGCAAGCTGAATCCTCCTGATTGTCCAGCATCTGAAGTCTCAGTAACTTTTTAATGGAAGTTATACTGGGCTAAATCTGGATAATAAACCCGAATTATGCATATATACACATGGAAAATTACCTTTTCAGTTTTGACATTTTTTGAGTGCATTCATTGATTTTTACCATTTTTAAAAAACAGGTCAGAAAGGGTCAGCTGTGGCCAAAGTATTCAAACTATTCAAAGCTGAGAATGGAGAACTCTTTAATGTCTCTTCGACTAGTGAGTGGGTTCAAGGTAAGAGGTCTGTTTGCTATTTAACTCAGTGGTAGAGCTGATAAATAGAGTGAACCATCCTTTTTATTGCAAAGCTATTTGGGAAGAGTGGGCTTGCAAGTTGCTATTTATGTTGCTGCTAACCCAAGTAAAGAACATGCACAGATTCTTTCCTCAATTGTCTCCAGGACTCTCTGGATAACTGGCATTCATTTTCCTCTGTTGCTCTGGGTATGAAATTCCATCTCTTATGATCTAAGATATCACACACAGCCTCTTATTTCTTCTGACTGCATAGTCATCATGTCCATGTTTCAGACAACATACAGTAACTGAAACTTGATCTGAAAATCCAAAAGACAACTAAGGAAGACAGGATCCAAAAGCAATAACTATTAATAATGCTCATACTGCGTACTCCAATTATGCAGCTTTTAATAACTCTGCCCTCCTTTGGCTGGTTGCACTTCACAGCATCATTACAAGCGGCTGACAGAGTGGCAGGAAGAGGCAGGAATCAGATCATCAGAAAAGAAACTTGTGAATGATATCTGAGATCAAATTATGCTTCATGTGTTTTTGCTGCATTCATTAGGCGTGACTTTCAAATGACTCTTCTTGTTTGCACTTGTCTCCAGATGTAGAATGGACAGAGTGGTTTGAGAAGCCCGAGAAAGCAAGATCTAAAGACATGGAGAAGCTTTCTGACTTCAAAGCTGCTCACCCTGATAAAATCTGTAGGCAGCCCATTGACATTCAGGTAGGCCAGCTTACCTCTTTGCTTTAGAGAGGCAGCGTGAGATGAGAGCCCCCAAAATATTGTGCTTGTCAGTAACTTTTGTTTCTAAATAAAAGACACTGATTATTTTCCAGCTGTAATATATAACCAACAAGTTCTGTCTAGTCTTGTTTTGAGACAAATGCTTGTAGAATTAAGCTCCTTTCAGTAAATTCTGGCTCTGGCATGAAAAAGAGTGCAGATGGGGTCAGGGACAGCACAGATGCTATCGTGAAATATGTGGTTCCCTGCTGGAAGCTTGTAGGAAAAAAATAAGACATGAAAATTTCAAAGTTTTTAAATGATTCTGGAGTGGACCCTACCTCAAAAAATTAATCACAGAATGTAATGAGATGGTATTGCAACCAGCTGTAGTAGTTGGGAAAAATACCAATGAGCTTAGCCATTTTTTGGAGTCAATTGGTGGTTTGTTATTTTTCCTCTGGAAAGAAATTTGAATTCTATTTGGAACTAAACATTAAAATTATGCTAAAAATTAAAATTATCCATGTGGCTGAGGTGAAAAAATGTATCTTTTCTGATACTGCAGAAGCCTATTCAAGCCAAAATAAAATTACCAAAACAAAGCACCTTTGTTTTCTTTTGGCAAGTGTTAGCCATATGCTTTACCCATCTACCTGTTAAAACAAGTACCAGAGAAGCTTTGCCTATCAAAAACCAGTAAAATACTCCATACCTGTGGGAAGTTGAATCTGAGGTTCCTGCATCCACTGGTGGATTTCACACAAATGCGGTTATTGAAGTAAATGGGAATGCTGACATTATGACTCTAAGTTTCCAGGCCTGCTTGTTCTAAAGAATCTCCTTTGAAAAGAAAGGAAAAAAATGCCCTATGACTTTCTGCCAGACCTTAGCAAATCCACATTCATTTCAGCTTCCATATACATGAATTAGAAGTGACAACTTATTTCAGAGCAGAGGTCAGATGTTCGTTATGACAGCGCTTTTAGCTTGTGTATTGAAAGAGAAACAAGAAATGTATTCTTCTGTGCCAGAATCAACCTTTTTTTCCTCTGTTCTGTTAAATTATAGATACTTTTTTTTTTTTCCCCCATGAACATAAAAAGCAAAACAATTTTTTTTTTAGCTTCTGCAGATTTTAGGGCAATTCTTCAGGTAGCATAACCTGGCATTTGTTATCGCATTCCTAAAGTTACACTGATTTATACCAGCTGGCCTGCTTCAACTGTGCTGAACGTGAAAATGTGAAGATACAATGATAATAACAGAAGCACAGTGCGGCCAGAGGCACATTCCTTCAGCTGATGGTGTTAATCCTATCTGCAGCAACAGTATGGCTGCATTAATAAGGAAGGTCTGCATGAATGAATTAATCAGGATCAGGCCCTTCACTGGAAGATAATTTATCTCCTGCTGCCTTGTTAAAATGCATGTGTTATTTGGATTGTCCAATGCAATTAGTTGCATTTTTGTGAAAGGGTCAAGCTATGGAGCTGGACTGTGACCTGAGGGGTGACACTTGCCCCAGCAGGAGCACAGGAGAGGCTACACATCCCTCCACTTCTTTGTATGATGCAGCTGTTTCCTCAAGCCAACCCTACAGGCTGGTACCTGTATGTGAAAAAAGCCCTCCTCTTCTTGTTCCTTTTGGAGCAAGGTTACTGGAACAGCTCTATTTTTTATTTTTTCCTTTGAGAGCAATTATTACTGACTCATTGAAAGAAGAAATCCCTGCTCTTGTTCTTCTGCAAAGTTCAGGTATAGCTGAGCCACCAGCAATGACATGAGTGCAGCAGAGAGGTTTGAGAGCATGAGTTCATTTGGGTACAAGCATCTGTGTTCAGTGTTGTCATCTGATCTCAAACAAATACCAAAAGAAAATCTAGGGCACCAAGACCAGATGTTAGTGAAGTTCAGAATACTCCTATCCAAGAAAGCACATGGTCTTAATATAGATAAAGGAGATACACATACAACTAGCAGTAATCTACACAGTCAGCACATACAATAGCTGTTCTGAAGCACCAGCTGGAGTGCCAGCTGGATAGCACACATACCAGTCATCCCATTTTGTTATACAACTGTTGCGCATCACTCAAAGCAAAAGCCTCTTAGGATGACATCAGTGTCTGAACGTATCACCAATTTTATATTTCTGTTCTCATTCCAGGCAGAGACCCTCGATGGAACTATTTTAACCACTGAGGTTTTCTACAAGAACGGCCACGACTATCGGTTTCTTTGCCATGGCAAGGACCAGACAGGTGAAGGTTGCCAGAACTACAGAGTGCGGTTCCTGTGTGGCAGCTCTGGTATGTGCTCCATGTTCAAAAGCCAGACACTTGTGCTCTCTGTCCTCTGGGTTGGCTCTTCAAAGGCAGAAGTCATTTACCCCTGAGAAAGAAAAGCCATATGAGGAACTTGGATTTTGCCTAGTGTTCTTGTTTCAGATGTCCAGAAGCACAGAGTCTTCTCCATTGAGTGCTTGGCTTAAGGTAGATGGTATAGGTATAAACCAGACCAACGAAAAGCAGAAATACTGCCTTCCAATGGCTGACTCCTGTTCAGTGGAAGAACAACTACAGTAATTTCTCAAGATGAAATTTTGGATGAGCTATTGATGTGAACATAGATACAACGGCTGTAGATTTACCTCAGGAAAAGTTCCTGAGCCCTACCAGAGAAAGCAGAGTATGACTCCAAAGCCAAGCAGCACCATGGAAAACACTTGATGAGTTCCTTCCCGTAAATATCTTGTGTTTCAATCGAAGCATTTTAGGATGAGATAGGATTAGTCAATCACTGTGTGCAAAGACAACGGGTTTTGAAAGAAATACTTTGTTTTATAGTTGTTAATTCCAACACCACTGTGCATAACTTGGCCACTGGACAGGTCTTTAGGATTCTTGAGTGCTCAGCTGGTGGGAAGAGGAAGGTAGAATACTGTTGTTTTGTTGGAAAAAAAAAACAATCGTTACGTTGAAGACCATTTGGCTGCAGTAAATAACAGTGCCCCGTACCCAGAAGAGCTACTAGTAAATGGGTGGGGTGAAAATGAGCCACTCAATGCTACTTCAAATTGTAGCCATGGGATTAGTGGAAAATCCACCTGCACACATCTGGCAGAAAAACACTTTCTTGTTTGCTTGCTTTCCAAGCTTAAGCCAGTAACAAGCATGATTGGAAGAGTTAACTGTTTTATACTGAATGAGGAAATCATCTTTTTTGGTGGTGCTCCAGGCAAAAAAAAAACCAAAAAACTGGCACTTTGTGATAAGATTAACTGAGTCCTCCACCCTTCCTTTTGGCTTTGCAGTGAAACCAAAGCTTACAGTAACCATTGACACCAACGTGAACAGCACGGTGCTGAATCTGGTGGATGATGTGAGCTCATGGGAGCCTGGAGACAGGATTGTGATTGCAAGCACTGACTACTCCATGTACCAGGCGGAGGAGTTCCAAGTACTGCCATGCCCATCTTGCAGACCCACCCAGGTCAAGGTTGCAGGTGAGGTGATTCATCTTGTCACATTAGTGTTGCATTTCACAAATTCCATCATTTTCACTGAGTGAACTCCATTAAGAATCAGAAAAAAATAAAAGACACCTGAATTTGATGTCTAGCTCTGATGATACTTTTGGGAACACGTGATTTTCTTAGTAGAAAATCATCTAACTTGATTCTGGTTCCTTTCTGTCTTCCCTTTCCGTAGCTGACTCTGGGTTTGTTTGTTTGTTTTTTGTTGTTTTGTTTTGTTTTTTTTTGTCCTCAAGATCATTGTTGAATGGATGCATTTATTTCATAGAGACAAACATTGGACATGTATTTGAAACATTCAATTTTGTATATCTGTATTTAAAAATGTATCACTTCCTGGAAAGCAGGAGATGAGCACAGCTGATCTGAGGAGCGTGGTAAGGGAGGATTCGAGTGTGAGAAATTTTAAGGTTATGAAGTAATGGACCAGCTGGCTATTTTCCTAAAAGAGTTGTATCTAACAAGACAAGTAATCTTACATTTTAGATTTATTTTATTTTTGTTTTACTACTAAAGCTACTGTTTCTCTTTTGCTGTGTCTCTAGACTGCATTGCTCTGAGGTGATGTATTAACCAAACTTTTCTGGAGTCATGTGGCACATGTACTATCCTGAGCCACAGGAAATGGAGGCTGTAGAGTGCTGCTAAATTAGTCTGAGCAGAAGGAGCAGGAAGCTTTGCAGAGTTTCAGCATTTTTCTGTTGAAAGTGACTGGCTCAAATCTGGAACAAATGGCTTTTGATGAGAGGACCTTGCAATCTAGTGATTGTAAAGTGACCTTCAGACACACTTCCATGATGAAGCACATACTGTTTCTGCTATGAGCATGAAAGTAAAATGCAAAGGGGAAAATCTGCAACTGCACTTGAGTCTGTGAGGTGGCCTTTTTCTTCCAGAGCTAGATTTTGGCATGGTAATGAGCAGAACACAGAAATATCAAGTGAGCTGCATCTTTTGTAAATACATGAACTTTCAATTGCCATGCTTTACAAAAGCAAGTGTAATCTTACACAATCTTACAGTATAAAAGCATGTAACAGCTGAAGCCATTTTTTATGGCAGAGTTTGCCTGGTTGTGAAACATGCACGTCACCATATCTTTTGCTTCTGCTTTGGCAATTTCTTTAGGAAGAGGTTTTGTCAGCATTTACAGTAAGATCTTTCTGAGAAACCATCGGGGCACTTGGAACATCCAGTGCACCTGGGAGTTTGCTCTGTTCTGTGAAAAGAGCTGCATTATCTCTGATGCAGCATCTTCTGGAAGGTATTGAATGTGCTTCCTTTGGCAGCCGCCTCCCACAGGGCTCTCGCCATTCATTGTTAGACAGTCTGAAAGAGAGCTGCCCGTCAAGCCAAGAAAAATATTATTCACAGCGTGAATGTATCATAGTCTTATGACTTAAAATGACTAGTAGTTTCAAAGAAGACACATCTCCAAGTTGGATGTTTTTCTTTAGTAATTTTGAGCTGTTGGAAAAACTGTACCAGACCAGTATGTTACAAATTACATCGTGAAGATGATCTTGGAAGATCGTCAGTGAAAATAAAGATGACATAGAAATAAATCTCTTGAAATTCCCATAATCTAATGGATCTGAAAAAATCTTGTTTTTATCTTCTATAACAATAGCAACTGAGTTAGTTTAAAGAAATTAATAAGGGGTTAAAAACTACAAAAAAAGTTAGTGTGATTTTCAAGTAAAGAAGCAGTGGAAACACTTGTTAAAGTAATTATGCTCTTGGTCTCCAATTACTCTTTAGGAGAATTAGGACATTCCTTTTATTACCACAAATGACATGAGCACTGCAGCCAAAGTCTGCCTTTACTTATATCCAGGCAACTTCATTGACGTCAATGGGATTTCACTGATTATATAAATCAGGGCAAAATTTGGTCCAGTAGTAACAATCACATCCAATTTTCTTGTAGCAAAAGCACACTCTCACCAGAAAATAAGATCATCTGCCTGATTCTAAGTTCAGCATTGATGAAATAAAACAAGGGAAGGCTGAGTTGTCCTGTCTTTAGCAGCCAGGAGATGCCTGACTTTCTCTGTGCCTAACCATCGCCTAACATCCATTGCCCTGAGCCATGATGTGCAATTAGACAGGATAAGGAACACTAATGAGCCAGTGGGTGGTATCTCCATGCTAGGTGAGCATCCCTCTGTGCTTGTGCAGCAGTGCTCAGCTCTGATTTGCATTTGGAAAGCACTTGTCATAAATGTCTGCTTCCTTTCCTGATGTGAGTTATTCAGGACTGCTTTGCTCCTCCTGAGAAAAGGCTTCCACGCAGATATATTTATACACGGCGTCTCAAGGGATGTCATTTGTAGTCAGTGGCGTGGCCTGATTATCTCGAGAGTTTTAGTTTAGCAGCTGAGAACTCCTGAAGTCTGTCCTTTAAAAGCAAAATGATAAAACCGTTCCTACCCAGATGGTTTGTGTTCATTTTAATCTCTATTTTTTTTTTATCCTTTCTTTTTTGGAAATAAACTTGAGTTTCAGGTCTGAACTACTTAGAGACTTTTTTAAAAAGAGGCAGAAAAACTCATCTGTGTGGACAGCTGATTTGTTGTGGCAGTCACTTGGCGTAAGAAGGTTTAATTATAGTTGGTGCTCTCATCATTTGCTAGTAGTTTAATAGACATAGTTTAGTGTATTAGGACAAAGAAGTCAGACTTATTGTTTAGGTCCTGCCCCATTTATATTGATACTTCCTGCTGAAAACTCCTACTTGCTTTACTGGCTAGAAGTGACCTGATTAGAGGCTGGGCTTTTCCAAAAAGCTGAAGAGTAAATACTCAATTACCGCCAGGATTTTTTTCAGTAGGATTTGGGTGTCTAACCAGACTTCTGACAATCTCAGTATAGGAAGCAAGGGAGGACACGCAGGGACTGATCTTATGTGCTCCCTTATCGCAGCAACTTCGCTCAAGTCAGAACTGCTGCTCCCACAGGGAAGCATAGCCTGGGCGAGGGCTCAGCTCTGCAGGTCCTGCTCCTGGTCTGACGGTCACTCTGATAAATGGAGGACTTTTCTCTACTGACCTCCTTTGTTTGATTTTTTTTTTCTCTTTTTTTTTTTTTTCCTCTGTGGGAACAGATTAAAACCTTTTGATCTTGCAGGTTCCCAAGGCAGGGACGATGGCACAGGGCAGAGGGAGGGAGGAGGAAGGAAGGAAGGAAGGGTTGTGTTGTGGCAGCACTGGATAGTAGGAAAATCAAGTATTTGGTCTAGTTTCCCTGGGAAACAAGTCTTATCTGCATCTTCGCTGCACTGTGTGAAGTTACTACCAATGCTGATAAGTTTCACCATGGAATAGAAAGGATGAAATGCCCTTTTGTGTGTCTATGTGCTCTTGATAAAACAAGAAAAACCTTTTTGTGCATAGCATAATTACTTCAATTATCCCACGTATTAGTGAATCTGTTATTATGAGCCTACATATCTTAAATCTTGCTTATGGGGCAGTGAATACTACAGAGAGATGGAGCTACTTGTTAATGTAGAGAACTTTGAATTAAACATGTAGATACATAGTGATCTAACAACTTCCCAGAAACTGCCTGCGTCACCATTCGTTGTGCGCTATGAAGGAGGGAGAAGTTACTCTACCAGCAAAATGATACTTTCAGATACTTTCAGAGATTTAGAGGGTTCTCTTCAGAAGCTGACATCATTTTTTGCTGGAACTTGCCAGAAGTTCTTTTTTTGAGGCATCCCTGGTACTTGAGGGTTGGGCAAGGAAGCATTGTGTAAGGCACCTTTCTAGCAGTCTTTTCAGCAGTCTTTTCCTTCTATCTCTGGGCACTGCTTTGAACTCCTTGTAAAGCTTCATCCTTTTTACTATAAGTCCTTTCACTTAAAGCCTGCTTTCCCTCAATTTAAGGAATAATTATTCAGTAAGATGTCAGGATGTAGTATATGACTCAAGGCTGGTCAGATCTCTCAAGCCATGCTGTGTTGCATTTGAGGCATGCAAGAGCAAATCCCATCAAACCAATTCAGATAGGATGTTTGTGAGAACATTTATCAATTATTAAATAGAAAGCAACAGGGACGTAACCACCAGTGATGACAAACGCTTGGCAAAAATGCTAAATCTGACAGAAGTATGGGCTGGCATCTGCAATGAGTTGCACTGGTTTTAAAGGTTCCCTGAAGGATTTATTGTCACTGTGTTACATGAATTAAGCAGGCAAGTTTGTATTTAGAGTGGTGCTGCAATGGCACAGCTGCCTGGGGAGGTGGTGGAGTCACCATCCCTGGAGGTGTGCAAGAACCGTGGGGATGTGGCACTGAGGGATGTGATCAGTGGGCACGGTGGGGGTGTGCTGATGGTTGGACTGGGTGACCCGAGTGCTCTTTTCCAGCTTTAATGATTCTGTGATTCCCTTTAGAAACTCTGATTTGGGAAGCATTAAAAGACCATGAGAGGGAAGGTCTAATCCGCAGAGCCTGGAGGAGAACAAAAAACTCCTTAGGGAAAAAGAACAAATCCAGAAGCATCTTAGCTCCACTTTATCTTCACCAAATACAGACTTTCAGATGCCTGATTCACTTCTGAAAGAGATATGCGGCACTTTATGGCATTTAAAGCCAAAGCATTTAGAAAAGTAGAAATATACCAGGGAGGTTTTTTAGAGACATCTCTGAGTGTTACTCACCAGAGCACCACCCACACCTGGAGCTTCTGAAACTGTTCTACATTTCCACCCTTCCCAAGTGTGATAAAGCCTGAGCCCAGGCTTTGGGGTTAGGTTCAGGTATGGCAGGTTTTCCTGGAGCTTTGTACAGCTTGGAGAAACTCGGAATTGCTGTGATGTTGACATAAGTGTGTCTTTGATTAGTGGATCATCTATGTTTATCTTAATGCATACTTTCTTTTAATAATTACCTTCTCCTTACTAAGTGCACTGGTGACTTTAATAGTCACTGTCTTGAGTCATAAGCATGGAAGTGGTCTCCTATTTCGCTGAATCAAGACCTTTGTCAGCAAGCCCATACATTAATGCAGTTTATTTTTCCCTGTGAATTAACATTTTGCTAAGTGAAGGTACTGGTATGACAAAGAGCAGCAAAGCCAGGGCGTTCTTTTGAGCTAAATCACACTGGCCTGTTGTGGGGAGATGTAATCTGTGTCAGCATACGGCTTTGTTTGGTTTAGATTATAACGCAGCACAAGCCTGGCTCACCAGCAAAGCAACATCTGTCCGTGAGGGATGCAGCATGAATGTGCTCAGAGAGGAGATGGTGAATCAGTGATCCTGCACTCATAATTGCTTGGGCAATCCCAGGCATGGCTTTGATGCTGAAGCAGCGGGCACAGTCCTCCTCTATTCTCAGCACAGAGTTGCCTTTCTTTGCCCCAAACCACTTCTGGGCTGGCTTGGGTTTGCCCATGCTCAGATGTCACACTGCTCCTTGGGGAGACAAGCAGCAGCCTGGCTTCAGGTTTACAGCCCTGCAGTGGGACGCTCCCAGTGCCATGTGAGCTGCCCAAGCACACCGTGGAGCAGCCTCTTTTGTTTGATTTCCTTCCTCATGCCAATCACCAGCCGTGCCAGTGGAGGTGCCACGTGTCCATGGACGCACATCGCAGTGCTTCTGGCCCCATGGGAAGTGCCTGGTGCCAGTTTCCAGCAGGAATTGACATCACCAGAGCGATCCCATGCCCAGCTCTGTCTCCCATGAGCCATGTCAGTGGGATGGCCCCACAGCCGTGGGCAGCTTGGATTTCTGGCTGCCGGGAGGAGAGGTTTGTTTTTCAAAACTCTGTTAAAGGAGCTATTATTCAAAATCCACTTTCACATTGCAAGGGGATTGCTTTCCATCTCTCCTTTTATCTCTAAACAAGTCAAGTCAGCAAAAGCAGAAAGTGAAAAACATGCACCCAAGGAGTTATATTTAGAAACTGGTTAATGCGTATTTAACATTCCTGCCAGTACTTATGCTATTTTGCATGTCTGGACTGGTGTTAAATTAAATTAAATACATGCAAGCATGACATTTATTATTCTAGAGCTCAGCACATAAATAACAAAACTGCCCATCTAATTCCACTGCCACAAATCCTGGGGATGTGGCTTGAAATAGGACATTCTTCAGATTATCTGAACTTCTTCCTGCATTTCAGTAAATCAAGGAAAGGTCAGCTTGGAGGGAAACTAAAAAGTAACAGCTTGAAAATGGTTTCATAACCATTTGGCTCTGGACTCTGTTCCCTAGCAGAGCTGCTCAATGGTACAGCACTGGGCATCCCTGTGCAGAGGACACCGCTGCCACTGCTTTTTAAATAGCAGTGAATAAGGGAAGCAGAGCTGTTTTGGGGGTAAGCTGGGTTCTGATGTTGGCCACAAACCTGAATAGACCTGGCTTATGGCAGCTCTGTGGGAAAGCTCAGGGAAGAAACTGCAAATACAAGTGAGATGCAAACCCATGGCCTCTTGGTTCCACCACTTTTGGGATTGAGCATCCAATTCCCACAGCACCCTGTGCCCATGGCAGACAGTGGTGCGGACCTTGCCTTGCAGGCAGCAAGAAGGAGCACCAACCTTTCCCAAATGCCAGTATTGCTTTTGAACTACACTGCTCCCAGCACCAGCAGAAAGGAGGAGTGAATGGGGTTTGCTTATCTTTGTTATAAAGCCATAGCAGTGTGTTTTGGTTAAAACAAGAATGTTTCAGTGCTCAAAATCCTCCACGCAACTTGCCATTTCTAGTGCAGCACAAAGTACTTCACAATGATAGCCAGGCTTTGGGCTTGCCATTTGTTTCTAATTACTGCTTTGAATGATTCCACTGAAATGAAATACATGCAAGTGTAGCATTCCTGAAAGTTCAGTGTTTACTTAAAGAGTTTATTACTTATTTTTACTGGAATAATACAGAATGTAGTCCGTAAAATGAACCTTTTTCCAACTGCATTCTCTGCAGAAAGCCGAGGAAGGAAGGAAGGAGCATGAATACGTTTGAATGAAATTACAGCAAAGAGAATATTTTGCTCTCTAGGCATCCACAGTGCCTGGGCTTCACCCCTTTCTGTTCAGGGCAGGGAGGGCTCTCTGTGGTTTTAACCCCTCCACACAGCCAGGTGTGTTTGTGGAGGCAGGTTAGAGGCAATGTGGTCTGGCATGCAGTCCTATCAGCTGCCTATGTGCGGGGCAGAGGGAGGTGTTGGGAGCAAGCAGGAGATGTGCAGACAGATCTAAATTGAGAGTTCAGGATAGCAGGCAGGGAGAGGTTCTGAAGTGCAGTTCTGAAGTGATCACAGTCTCTTTCTAAGGTCGGAGAAGTGTTTTGTCAGACAGCCTGTTGGTTTAGCTCCCTGGCTAACTGGAGCAACTTCAGACCAAAAATCCCACTTCCTCTGTTGAAAATGTCTCAGCAGGACATAGAGGGACACCTGTGCTCCAGCCTTCCGCCTTTTGAGGAGCCAGCCAACAGTTTTTTGCTGATTCCAATGCTCTTTTCATTATCGACCAACCCCACCACAGGAAGCACAAGGGGAAACCAGCAGCGCTGGCAGAGTAATTCTGAAAATGGATCTTGTTCCTGCAGGGAAAGCAGCGTACCTCCACGTTGGCGAAGTCATTGATGGCGTCGACATGCGGGCAGAAGTGGGGCTGCTGAGCAGGAACGTTGTGATCATGGGCGAGATGGAGGGGCAGTGCTATGAGTACAGCAGCAAGTTGTGCTCCTTCTTTGATTTCGACACCTTTGGGGGACACATCAAGGTAGGGCTGGAGCCTTCCCCTTGCACTTTTCTCCACCCAGCCACACCTTCGTGTACTGAGAAAGTCAGGCTGCAGGAATGGAGGAATCTCTTGTGTCAGCTGCTGAGCAAGCAGCCCCTCCCTGTGTTGCGGCAGATCCACCCCACTGCTGCTGCCAGTCCCTCAGCTTTGAAATACACCCATGCAGACAGTACCCAGCGAGGCTGGTGCTTAACCCATCCAGGATATAACTTCCATATTCCAATTCTAGTTTTCCCCAAATGCCAGTGGTGCTCCAAACAGGAGGTTCACTTTGAGCCCGAGTGACTGAAACTCATGGGAAACATTAAATCTAAATGTCTTTTTCTTCCAAAATGAAGTGGAAAGTAGCCATGGCAGCAGTGACAGTATCAAAGAAGAGCTATGGTCACATTAGCTATCATGACTCTCTCCTTTACCCTGCAGCCATACACTCTCTCGCACATAGTAAATCTCTCTAGCAGATACATTCATTGCTCTACATTCCTGTATTCCCCCACCCTCTTGCCCTCAACACTGTTTTATCTTTCTTGACTGATGTTCTGTCATTCTCCAGATTGGTCTTGATTTTAAGGCTACCCATCTTGAAGGTCTAGAGCTGAAATATATGGGCCAGCAGACAATGGGACATTACCCAATTCACTTCCACATGGCTGGAGATGTAGACGAGAAAGGAGGCTACAACCCTCCAACATATGTGAAGGATGTCTCCATCCACCATACCTTCTCCCGCTGTGTCACAATCCACGGATCCAATGGTTTGCTGGTAAGAAACCCCAATGCCTACCCTATAGATCCAGGCATCGGTCAAATTATTTCCTCATAGTGTGAATACAGCTTAATTACTGCAATGTAAGGTGTTTTATTGTTAGAAATAGGATCTGTCTCTTTCTCCTGATTACACAGATGTTCCAGGCGTATTTCAACCTGCATTCTTAAAAAGGAGGAAACAAAGTGGCACTGCAGGCTGTGTGTGAATCAGAGCAGGCAGAGCTTTTGTCTTTGGGCAGGGATGTCTGTGGACCAGCCCATCTCTAATGAGTAGTTGGACCTGGCTATAGCCAGAGCTTGCTATTTAAAGACGATAATCAGAAGGTTTAAGTATCCTTCATCTCTCCTATAATAAAGCTTTGGGTTTGCAATGCTATTCAGAACATTAAACATTCACAGAGCTCTGGTTTGTCAGAATTAATCTCCACAACAGAAAATCCTTTTGAATAAATCTATATAATGACCTATGCTTATCAGGCACTTCACAGTGCAGCAGAAGTGCTAGGAGCACAGTCAGATTTTCCCTTAGATGTAGAGATGCCACCTTCTTTGTTGTAAGTGTGCAGAGGGAAACATTATCATATTGAGCATCCTGGAGCATGGTACGGAACCCAGGAGGCTTTTTTCACTGCCACCCCACCTTTGTTTCCCGGCACAGTTGCTCCTTTGGCACTTCTGGGATAGGAATAAGTTGTGTTGGTCCCAGCCCTTGTTGCTTTATTAGTCTTGAACTCCCCATCATTTTAAGACAGTATCTTCAAAGCCAACCACACCAAGAACTTAACATAGGGTATTTTCCACCACCTGATGATGGTAAGGAAACCAAGATCCAGAATGTTCTGAATGAATGCTGCTCCTGAAACTATATATCCAATCAGCTCCACTCACAAAACCAGACAGGAGGAAAGAGAAATCTTTACTTGCATTCAGGAAGTATAAAGATATCTATCCCAAAGCTGCTAAAGATATGGAATGAACATCAAGTTTGACTATCCAACTTTTTTCCGAAGTATCAGTTCAAATACAAAGTCTTCCTTTTGGCAAGGAATGCAGGATACTGCCTCCAAAAGTGGCAGCAAGGGAAATGGAAGTCACAGGCATAATTGAAATGCACAGAAGTTAAAGTGAGGACAGTTCCAGAATAGGAATGGCTTTTATCTTCTATTTGTGAATCCTGCTTCTGATCTCTGTCCTTCTAAGTTTATAACATGAAATCTAGTGACTGAACTCATCTTATAGGGAAAAAGTATATAAATATGACACTCAGGGTCATATGAGAACTGTCCATTCAAAGTCACCAGCACAGGGGATGAGCTTGCAGTGAATAGGCAGAGTAGAAGGGCACTGTTTCAGGATTTGTGTGCCACAGATGGCTCTTACCAGTGGCACCATAAACACACTATCTATGTATACAGAGTTTGCACAGCTGTTGGTGAACTGCAGACCAGCTAGAGCCCTGCTTATCAGTCTGACATGAGATCTTAATTCCTTGTTCATTAATAGTTGCCAAAGCAAATGCTCTGTGCCTGGCATTTTTTGTACCGGTCAGATAAATAGATTTGTATAGAGCATTGGGAAATAGTTCTGTCTCTTGTGCTTTCTCCAAGGGACAACTTTGGGAGATGCATGGCAGAGGGATGCATGTGCTCATGCTTTTCAGCCATGATGACACAATGAAATTCAGACAGACTGAGGCAGCTGATGAAAACAGCTTTCTCTCTTGCTGTTACTCAACAGCCACTGCTCCCTAAATGACCACAGTTCGCCTTCAGGAAAAAGCACCCTGGAGAAATCTTAGATTCTGGGATCCAAAATCTAAACTGTTAAGAATGTAATCTCTGCTGATTGTAATTTATCACAATTTGTCAATACTAAACTCTATGTTTAACCTATTTTTTATTCTAACCATTCAATTTTTGCTAATGGCTGAATTGAAAGCTGAAGTGAAGTAAAGCCATCTATTTGCTCAGTTTCATCAGAGAACAGGCACTCCGTAGGTTGCATCACTTAAATGGTGTCTCATTGCTCAGATAGACATCTGCAGTTAGCAGCTCCAAACCTTGATTCTTCATGTGATCCCACTGCAATCTCCTCATCTGCTTTCCGATTCTATTTCCCTTCCTTTCCTGTTCCTTCTGCCCCAGATAAGCTCACAGGCACCCACATAGGTCTCTGGTGAGTACTGTGATTATTCTGTGCATTTCCTAGCTGCCTACTATCTTCTGACTTGGGCAACACTACCTGTTTCTACATGCATGAGCAGCATTTGTACAGACAGCAAATAGCTCCTTTTTCCCCCAGGTAACATTCATTCCCTCTGAGGTCAGGGTGATCCATAGCATGCTCTGCTGAGGGAAAACTCTCCTTGATGATGTACATGAACCGGATTTTGAAAATAGCCATGCAAAACATCTAGGTGGACTGTTAAACCTCAGCATAGCGTAGCATTTAAGGATGTGTTTAACTGTAGGCCATTGATTTCCAAGGGGTTTTTCACATGGCTGTAGTTAAATGCCTGTGCAAAAGCTTTGAAGAGCCATCTATTTATTCCTGATGGCAGAACTGTTTTTCTGTGGGTCTGCGTGGTGCTGCTGAAAGTCCCTGTCCCAACAGAATCTCATTTCCCTCAGTGAGTTTTTCTGTGCTTGTCTACAAATTCACATTCACTAGGGGACATAGAGGGTCCTTTTGGAAACAAATCTGTAGAAATTCTCAGCATAATTCTTGACAATTCCAATAATTACCCAGTGTTTTGTTTAATACGTTGGACATAAAAACCACCTATTTACACCATTGCAATCTCTGGGATCAAACTTTACTCTGATTCCCACTCTGTCCACTGGACCCCAGTGAGCAACCTAAAATAGAAACTCCCATTAGTGCAAGAAATTAAATGAAGGTCAATAAAAACACTCTGTCAGGATCCAGGGGAGAACTGTACTTCATGGAGTAAGAGGCTGAGCTATGTGACTACTTAGGCAGTATCTGATTTTAGTAATCCAGCTGTACTGCACAGTGGTTGTTTTGTAGAGGGCATTATCTGGCTATAAATTACTCATGGTTAAGGTAAGATTATGGACCATGAAGAAGGTTTTAATCAAAAATTAAGTCCTTTGGAAAAAATCTTTTGGAACACGCAGTTCTTTTGCAATGCAAACATTTCAGTACTGGGCTTGTGCATGAAAAAACATACAGGAAACTTGTATGTTTGTCAGAGCTGAGCGGGAGATGAGATATGGGAAAAGTAATTCATCAAATGGAGGGTGACAGAGACAGAAGGGACCAGGTCCCCCTGATTGATAACTCCGTGTTATTCTGTGGGCTTCCAGGGATGAGTTAGGACAACATTGGGTTTGTTGGCTCTGAGCCCTTCTGCCAGTGCACGTTCCTCTTTCTGCTTCACTCCTCTCAACAAACTGGGAGTGATAGTCTCCTGTAACATCCCATGAATAGTGGTGGGCTTTGCCCCACTGTCATCTGATTGCCACAAGTTTTCATATCCCAGTCCTAGTGCAGCTCTGTGCTGGTTGGAGAGATAAATGACTTTTCTGTGTGGCTGATGTTTCTCTGAGGAAACCATTTCCATCATCTAAATGTCGCAGCACCATTACTTGCTTTTCCAGTGTTACTGTTGTGCATGAGAAAACTAATTATCTTCAGTGGCTGTCTGCAATTTTAACAACTCCAAGATTGAAAGGCTTCCTCTACACACTGGAAATCTTCATCTGAAAAGAGGTCACTCTAATGAGATGTTCTCCTATCCCATAAACCTTTATAATTGCAAAGCTGGGACAGCTCATGTATCCAGGGAGGGATGGTTCAATGTAGTACATACTGTTTATGCCTAAATAAAGAAGCCTCGACCTTGCAAAAGCTGTCATCTAGTTAAATTAGAGAAGTTAGCAGTAAATTTTAGTGAAGTATTTTAGTGGAATGTACCACTTTGCAGGTCATTTTAACTCTGTTTAATTTACTGTGGTGACTTATGTTCAGAGATTTGAGTATTTACACTGGAGCATGGATGATACATAATAGATGTGTGTGCAAATGTAAGCTTGCAGTAGATTTGGCAAGCAAAGTATTCTCTCTTAAGTGAAAGCATTCTTGTAATCATTTCAACACTAGTCTTGGGATTTGATTTGAAATTGGTTTTCCTGGCCTCAAGATGAGGCATGTAGATGACAGAAGAATCTCAGTCCTGCTTGCAAAAGCAATTCAGGTGCTTAGGAGTTAAGATCTTTCAACAACCCTGTAAAGAATGGGTTCTGTGTCCATTTTAATATCTTACTTGTCCCTTCATGATTGCTGTCTCAGAAGAAGCGTTTGTAGGAAAACGCTGGTATCTATCTAAGCTCTGCTAGAAAGGTTTCCCAGGTCAAAGGTAGGTAATCGGTGAAGGCTGATGGGACAAGCAAAGAGAGACCCCAGGACAGACAGCATTTCATCAGGCACATGAAGGCTTGAAATTCATTTTCCATATTCCAGATATATATAATAACAACTAACTTGTTGGACACTGAGGGTTGTTGTTTTCCAGCCAATCCAAGCCTTAGGCTTTGAGTTCAAGTATCTGCTCTTGAAATTGTTTTTTCAGATCCTCCAGTGAGCTGATGGGTATTGTTCTGTCCAATACAATAGTGTTCTGATGTTAACACTGTTGAAACCCAAACCAGAACAGCACTGATTAACACCAGCTGATTTGTCTCAGGGTCAAGTAAAGCTTCTGTCAACAACTTGGAAAAAAGGATCAGGTCAAAGCTAAAACAAGCCAGCCTGTCTGGAAAAAAAGACTTGCCACCTCTCTGATAGCCTGAAAAAATATTTTTTCAGCTCAGCTGCATTTTTCAGATGTATTTTATGTAGCTGCTTGTGTAACTCTATGTGAAGATGAATGAGCCCAGATGTAATTTGAACATCCGACATCCTTCATTCACTTCCGCACCCCATGTTTCTTCCAGTCTCACGCTAAGATAGTCTGATTTTGCAGATAGGCAAAATAATGGAACTGGCATTTCCTAGATGACAACAAATTCTAGCTGAATTTAAATTTTGGGAGCATAACAAATTCTAGTTAATAACACCCACATCTAAATTTATTTTATACAATGAACTCTTAAGAGTAGAAAGTGATATTGCTTTCACTTTTGCTTTTGCTTGTACACCCTGAGTTCAAGAGTATACTGGAGTGCTATTACTGTGAAGTCTTTTCTCTATATGTAATGGCTGAAGGATGAAACTTGACCTTTGTTTTGTACCTGCAGGTGAAGGATGTTGTGGGTTATGATGCACTGGGCCATTGTTTCTTTACGGAGGATGGACCAGAAGAGCGCAACACATTTGATCACTGCCTTGGACTGCTTGTTAAACCCAGCACTCTGCTCCCTTCCGACCGAGACAGCAGGATGTGCAAACTGATCACAGAGGGTGCTTACCCAGGGTACATCCCTAAACCCAGGCAAGACTGTAGGTGAGTGGGAGCCTTTCTTTTCTTCTTTCTATTGTTGCAGGATTTACCCACAAAAATGTTGTGAATGTATTCTTATGTTGTCACCTTTATAAGTCTCTGCTGCATCCTCCCAAAGTTTGGGAGAGCAGTCTCTTCAGGGTCTTTCCACTTGTGTTATTTAGTTGTCTACACACCTGGGTTGTAATTTTCATTTTTACCATGAAGCCAATTGTGATGGTTGCTACCTAAGATATTATTGGAAATCTCTTCTAAAATAGGATTATGCCTTGCACATTCAGGAGTTGCAGTGGTTCAATAAAGCGTTCCCAGAATGAGCTGGATTCTGACATTAGTGCCCATATGGAATGATAGTTGATTATGAGAACACTCCCATTTATTCTGAAGCCATTATCTGCAGAGAACAGATATAGTTTAACGATACGGGATTGGCATTATGCATCTATTGGCAATTTACCCAAACTGAAGAATAAAACAAACGTGGTGCAATAAATGCAGTTTAGCACAGAATTAGGGCTTGGCAATAGAAGATCAAAGACTGTATATGCCTGTTGGATCACTAATAATGTCCATGCATAAGCTCATGAAAATGTTTCCATGAGAACTTCCCAAAACTTCTATTTTTCAGTATTAAACTTGAAAAATACTCAATGCCTTTCATCTCCCTTTTGCAAGATCCTTTCCTCTAAGTGCCCTTTCAGATCTGCCAACTGAGGTTTAAATGAGGATTATAGAAGCATTTGCAATGAGAAGGGATTTCACAAGTTCTTTTTGCAGTTCTGTTGCCTGTAGAAAAAAATAATCAAATGAAGTATAGAAGAAACATGACCAGCTTAGCCACATAGTTAAGCAGTAGAGTATGTTCTTGCTGGGATTCATGGTTTTTTTGTTAGTAGTAGTTTTTAGCGCAGGTTACAGAAACACCAGTCATGAATACCGTTGTTGCAGTTGATCCTACCATAAGACAGAATATGGACTCATTGAGCTCCTGCAGTCCATTCTGGCCATTTTTCCCCTGATTTTCATGCTGTTTTTCTACCTCAAAATCAAGGTGTACAGCCAAGGAATGGGAAAAAGTGCTCATTTTAATGCATGTGTGGTGTCTCATTAGCTTCCTTGTTCTCCCTTCACACCAACTCCTGAGAGAGTGGTAAACTCTTAAAGTGAAACCTGTGTAGTTAACAGCTGGAAAAGCAACTGTAATGAAGGGACTTTGGCAAATCTGGATTCTGGAGCAAATATGTGGACATTGGATGCGCAATATGTGGGCATCCTTCAGAAGCTTTGAATTGATGGTGATCATCAAAGCTTGACAGTAAGACTGCTGTGCAAGAGGAGGGAAGTTCCTCCACAGCCAAGTTTTGCCTTGAGACTACAGAGCATTGCTGCTGCATTGATGATGCTGGGAGAAATGGCTGTTCAGATTTTTCTTCAGGGTTTTCTTTTGGTGTAGTTTGAGGGGAAAAAAATGACACAAAAAACCCCTAATTTCTGACCAACAAGAAGTCAATGAGAAAGTCTCCAGAGCCAGACTGCTGTCTTCAAAATAAGATAGTGAGAAGCTGATTGATGCCTAATAACAGCTAAAAATCTTTGGGTGTTTTCTTTCATTTAAAAGTACTCTTAGTCTGCTGAGACTCTATCACTATCACCCATTCTGTCCTCAGAACTAACTGGGGTTTGGTCCAAAGAAACATATTTTTAGCTTTTTACTTTGGCAAGAGAAAGAGATGAAATTCATGCGGTGCTTTCTTTCACATCTGTGTTTGTTTATAAATGACACTTAATGTATCCATTCATAAAATAAGAGTAAATCAGCCGTTGTTCTTATTTTCCACATAATTCACTTAATTGTCAGCTGAACATGTTTTGTGTCATTTGAAATATTATTACAGAAAAATAGTACTAGGAATGATATGCTGATGTGTAATGAAAAAGTTCTACTGTACTTTGATCTGCCACGTCTTCCTTTATAAAAGAATTTAAGGACAGATTAGAGTTTTGCACTGTGCTCATCCAGCCTGCTAGTGCACAACCACACCATGGTTGCCCCGTGCATCAACCCACACCATCCCCATGCGCAGCAGCCAAGGCACTCAGCCCAGGGATGAGGGATGGGTGCCAGCTGTGGCTCTGTTGGCTTGGAAGAGGCAAGCAGGCAGCTGCTGCTGGTAATTAAGACAATAGGATTGTGCCAAATGACACAGTAACATGCCCAGTGCACATGGCTGTGAGGAACAGGGCTGGGCTGAGACAGGTCACTGGGAAATACAGCGGATTCAAGGCCTTGCTTTTGCATTTGGAGACAATAATCTCAAGTTGTTTTTTCTAGCCCAGCCTTGTACGTTTTCATGATGCAGTCACATGTATCAAATGTTGCCTTAGACCAGAAATTCCTTTAGAATATAAAGACCTCTTGAAGTCTTTCATGAAAGAGATGTAAGGGTTAGGTAGGTGCGTCCCCTTCAGGAGGATGAATCCCACCCAGCAAATTTAGGGAGCAACTCACATGTCTCCTGGATGTTTCACTCCCAAAGTTCCTGTGCCTGTTGGTTAATGATGACTGTATGTCACCGGATGGACAGTGATAGATTGATCTTTCCTCTTCAATGGGAATCTCTCAATTAAGAGGCTATGTGCATTAGGCAAATGGAGTCCCTTTGTCCCAGAAGAAATGCAATGCATAGTGGGGTGGGAGCAAATAAAGTTAATGAATCACAGCAGCTCTGTGTAAAAGCAGGTGCTACAGTATACTTGCAAAGCCTTTAGAGAGGGAATTCGTTGGGTCCCTTGATTAAACAAACCTCTAATGAACCTGAGGGCTTATTTGGGGGCAAATGCTTTTCTGTAGCTTGTGCAACAACATATTTACCTTATCATAAAACATGACTGACATCTGACAGCTTCATAGCAGGCTTGGAATTGCAATAGAAATTCCTCATTTAATACTCTGGGGTTTTAAGAGATAAGGCCATGTTCTCTGTCAAACCACAAAGGACAAATGTGGTATGAGAAGAGAAAGAAAAACAACAAACAGCCCTTTTGCCCCTGGGCAAGACCCCTTATCTGGGGTCTTATCAGCCATGCCTGTACTGTGGGGAGCTGAGCCGTGATTCTGGCGTGTGCTCAAAGTGTCATTTTCATCTCACTCTTTGTTTTCCTCATCTGCAGCGCTGTATCCACCTTTTGGATAGCCAACCCACACAACAACCTTATAAACTGTGCAGCTGCGGGGTCTGAAGTGAGTACAGAAGTTTCTTATTTGGTAATGATTCAGAGCTGAGGGCCCTGCGAGCCAAGGCTCTTGTTGGAATAAAACCTGCTTCTGTTACTCAGGCATTCTTGAAACTGCTAGATAGAGACATATATTAATGTGGTTAGCGCTGCCAATAAAAGGTAATGTTTTTTCTTTTGCTCCATACTTCTTACTTCTCCACACTTGCTGTTTCTAGAGCTGGACGGCTTTAACAAAACTTCCCAGCCTTTGCACAGTGTGCAGCCTGAATAAATGAAATATATCTGGCTGCGGAGTCCCAGTGAAGTCTTTGGCAATGATTCTGTTGATTGCAGTACAGTAACATTGCCCTGAAATCTCAATCAACACTAACACTAATTCCACAGAAATCCTTGGTCACATTGGGAGATTTAATTTTCTACTAAGACAAATAAGCAAGCAAACCAAGCCTTAAACAAGGAGATGTGGTCTTTCCAGAAGTTCAGAACCTGATTGCCTCGGTTCGGGTTCCTAAATATGTTTTAGACAGCTAAATAAAATGGATGTGATTTTTAAGATGTGCACATGCACAGATGGGAGGGCATCAATGTATATGTGTGTTGTGAGTTAGAAAAGTCGTGTAACTTTAAGATAGATGTCACAGTTTAGATTAAAGCAGCCTGCTGTTGCTGCACAGGAGTGTGACTGTAAATATGTGAGTTCAGCTCTCTGCTGAGCGCAGTTAGACAGGTCAATGCTGCTAGCTGTGATTTGTCCTGAAATCTTCTGGCTTACGTCTTGAGGATTTACCGATAAATCCTTGGGCTAATGCAGACCAGCAAAGAGGTTCAAGCGAAGGCTCAGATGTCGTTTCTTTTTCTCAGGAAACAGGCTTTTGGTTTGTTCTGCACCACGTGCCAACGGGGCCCTCGGCGGGCATGTATTCCCCTGGCTACTCGGAGCACATGCCGATGGGGAGATTTTCCAACAACCGCGCACATTCCAACTACCGAGTGAGTCTGCACGCAACTGGAATGCTGCCGTCAAAAAAACATCGCTTTCTCGCTCCAGCTCTTCGGATCTGCAAGCTATTAATGCCTGTGCTTTCTGTTTCGCTCGAAGTTGATGCAAACTTGTTTGTGTCTGCAGATAGAGCAGCTTGCAGGCTGGTGTGGCAGCGCTCTGAGCCGGCCAGCATCCTCTTGGCTCCTGGGCACCAAAGTTCTTCCCTCTGCTTGGCTGCGCCAGGCTCATTCTTTGCTTCTGCTTTCCTAAAATAGTGCCTACAGGAGCATCTATTGGCAGCTTGTCTAATTATAGACCTCAACTGCCAATGTTAGCAATTAGCCAAACGGCTTCTAAAAGAATAAATACAGCCAGTGTGTCTGATTGCCTTCTCTCACTCTTTCCCTGTTTGCCCTCAGCACGCTGTGTGTGGTGCCGTGGTGAGGACTGCTGGTCCTGAGGCTGCAGCACTGTGTTTAGGTGCATGGGAGTACATTTAGAAGAGAGCTTCAGTTTCAGGAAATATTGAGCAGTTTGGGGTGATACATGCAATTCCTGATGGTATTGGCAATACTCAGTTTCATATATTATTAGCAGAAGCAGTTATTAGGATTGTGCCATATACTTTGGCTTGGGACAATTGGAGACAGAACTTGGAAGTGGAAAGAACTGTAGAATATATAAATAAACCATAATATTACATTCCCATTTTCTTTCAGGCTGGAATGATCATCGATAACGGTGTTAAAACCACTCCTGCCTCAGCCAAGGACAAAAGGCCCATTCTGACACTGATTTCTGGGAGGTAAGGTGCTCTGCACTTGGTTTGGAAAAGACTTCTCTTTAGCACTGGTTTAGAACTATAATGTTGCTCCCAAGGAAGCTGATATAAATCATTGCAATGCTTTTGGGTGGAAATTATTGAGGAAAGGATTTCACTTAAATTTCATAGAATCACTAAGGTTGGAAAAGACCACTAAGCTCGCCCAGTCCAACCACCCAACCCATCACACCATGCCCACTGACCACATCCCTCAGTGCTGAATCTCATGGCTCTTGAACACCTCCAGGAATGGTGACTCCACGGTGATTTATCACTTTCTAACTTCATCTCCTTGTCATAAAGGACTCCCAGACCTCATCTTCCTGTTGCTGTCTTTGCTCTTTAGCTTGGAGCTGAGCAGGCATAGATATTACTTCTGCTGTATGGTATTCTACTGATTTCTTTGGTAGATGACAGAGATAAATTAAATGCTGTCTGGCCAACAGCTCTGCTGGTTAGAATTTGCTGCAAGTTTTCCACAAACGGGAAATGAAAGTAATTCCAGGTAATGCTGTTGATCTTCTTCATTCCTTCTGGACCTGCTTGAGCAGGGAACACTTCAGCAGCAGAGCTTACATTTGATTTCCAATTTCTGCCTAGTTCCAAATCTGACACTGCAGCGATAATTCCGATTAAATGCGTGGTGTGACCCTCCATCCCTGGAGCTGTGTGTAACATCTATATGACATAACGGAGTCACTTAGAAATGATAAAAACCTCTTTACAGAGAGTATTGTGTATCAGCAGACTTAACTCAGTGGTGGCTCCTGGGAAGTCCCAGTCTTTTCCCAAAGCAGACCCCCATGCGCAGGTTGATGTAAGCCAAGGGCTTCTTGCAGGAAATGCGTACCAGTGTATGGGCTGCACTTGCACCCTTTTATCTCATTAGAGGGTCAGTCTGGCTCTTAACATACTTACCAACCCCAGGAAGAGAAAAGGACTTAAATGCTTTCAAGTTGCACAGTTTTCATTCCTGACTTCACTGCCTCCGTAGCACTCAGATGGTGTTTTCCCATGGCTGAGTCTCTGGACAGAAGAAACCAACAGGGCAGAGAAACATAGGAAAGGAAGGGATTGCTCAGTTTTTCCTTTGTCTTTCCATCTCTAGGGCAAAGGTTGCCCACACTGCTGGTTATGCACTAGGAAAGCACTGTGTGAGTAGGTTCAGCATCTTCTTCAGGGAACTCATCCTATGCTCTGCATCAGCACAGTGCCCCACCCCACAGCTGATGCTGAAAGAATTTGAAAAATGAATATTATTGACCTTGTTTTAATGCCAAATTAATTGAAATAATTAGCTGAATAGTAAAAATTACTCCAAAGAAACAACAACAGCAACAACAAAAAAACCCACCATAAAAACAAACAAACAAACAAACCTTCTCTGCGAATACCTCTAAATTCTCTTGAGAACCTGATGACCAGATAGCTGAACGCGTGCCTTGGGAAACTGCTGGTTGCCACAGGCACAGTAAGGGATTACAAAAGGCAATTTGTCCCTTGCCCTACAAGGCAGGAATGAGCCCTGGAAGCCAAGAAATTCAATATGCAGTCATGCTTGTGCTTGGTGATTACCCAGCAGTACAGGCTGCGGCTCAGATTATTTGTACTGCTTTTCACTTTTCACTTGTTGAGACTGAAAGACTGATTAAGTGATTATAGCTACACTGGCCAGGGCAGTCTTGGACATAGGCTGGGCAGTTAAAAAGCTGGAGAGATTATTCTGCATTCAGTTACAGCATTAAGTATCTGGGCAAAAGTCTGTACCCTGTAGTGTTATTCCAGATATTCACATGGATGTGAATGAAACTGGAAATCTATCTCAAAATATCTGTATTTAACAATGTCTAGGGAATTCACAAGGGCTGATACTAAATCTCTTTCTGAAAGCAAATTCGCTAGTGATGAAGCTGCCAAAGTAATATTCATTTACTGGAACCCTATCAGCCCGGTGCTCAGATTTAGATTGATATGATGGCTTATTAAGCAGAGCAAAGTGCTATTGAATATCTGTTAGCGATTTGACAGCTTGGTCTCACTACCCGTTGGTGAGGCATGAATTTTAATCTCTGGACCATCCGCTGCTGGCACTGAGTTGAATGCTCAGCTGTCAGGTTCTCTAAGCTGTGCTGAGCTGATGGGAGATGCTCCTTCAGCAGCAAAAGGGAGAGCTCCTGGGTGAATGGCAGCCAAGCTCAGCAGCGCCAAAACCTTGCTTGGATACTGTTGCCTGAGTGGAGGCAGAAGGGCAGCAGAGGTCACATTTTGCTGCAGTTTCCACTTGTGTCTGCTTTTTCCCTGTGTCAGGCCAGTATTTCATCATCACTGAGATAGAGCTAGAAAATCTCTTATTTGTTCTGAGCAGTGTGTGGTGAGAATAGCAGAGGAGCTGCTCTCAGCCTCTCTCCAAGATACTTTAGTTCCTTTTAACAAGGAGGAAGAATTCTCATTGCCACAACATAGCCAAGGTTAGGAGGAAGGATGCTCAAAATGGGGGAAAAGGGTATTTAGCTAAACAGGAGTGTGCTAAGGGCAGAAGCCTCTTCTATGAAGAAAGGTTGAGGGAGTTGGGCTTGTTCAGCTTGGAGAAGAGGAGGCTCTAAGGATACCTCACTGTGGCCTTCCAGTGCATGAAGGGAGAGTATAAACAGGAGGAGGACCAGATTTTTACACATTCTGATAGTGATAAGGGGGAATGGTTTCAAAAGTGGGAAAATTTAGGTTAGATGTTGGGAGGAAGTTCTTTACTCAGAGAGCAGTGAGACACTGGCACAGCTGCCCGGAGCTGGGCAGTGGGTGCCCCATCCCTGGAGGTGTCCAAGGCCAAGTTGTGTGGGGCCCTGAACAGCCTGAGCTGGTGGATGGCAACCAGCCCATGGCAGGGGGTTGGGGCTGGGTGGGCTGTAAGGTCCCCTCCGACCTAAGCCATCCTACGAACAGTAAAGGATTAAAAAATATCTCTGACTTTTGGAAGCAATAATAAACTTTCCATGCTTTCAGCAATATATCAGCTATACAATAATGGCAAGGTGAAAGGAAACTTGGAGCAGGTCTTTACAACAGCCTCGCCTGGACCAGCTGTCCCTTGGCAGAGGGCTCTGGCCACCTCTGCTTGCCTAGATGTGCCGCTTGGATGGACTGTTGTCCCAGAGCCGCTCTCAGCTAGCAGAAACCAGATGTTTAGCAGGGCGGTAGACCAAGCAAGGCTGCCTTCCCTTGCCAATGTTCCTTCTCTCTCCTTCTGGTTGCAGATACAGCCCACACAAAGACGCTGATCCTTTGAAGCCCAGGGAACCTGCGATAATTGAACGCTTTATTGCCTACAAGAACCAGGATCACGGGGCCTGGCTGCGGGGCGGAGATGTGTGGCTGGACAACTGCCAGTGAGTTTTGCCTTATTTCAACTCTCAGAGTTCAGCCCGGTGTTTATGGCGAGCATAGCTGTGGTTCAGACTATTTATACCGCTTTGCACCTTTCATATGGCCAAGATTGAAATAAAGATGAAACGTAAACCCAGGCATTATTTTACACAAAGAAAACCTGTTTTCGTCTGAACTGAAGATCTCTGAGGTTGTTGGGGGTTTTTCTGTGTGTGTGATTCTGACCGGCATTCAAAATGATAATGTGCAAACACACATGCACCAATACAAATAACAGCATCCTTTTTTTACATGAAAAATGAGGTGCTTCAGAAAAAGAGCAGCAAAATCCACCACCTCCCATGGCCGAGCCTGGTAACAGATCAGCTTTATGTGGTTGGCTGTTATGCTGAATAAGCTGGAGTGATGGGGCAGACATGAAACTATGCGTCACAGCAGCAAGGCAGAGAAACTGGGCACGTGTGTCTTGTGCTCTTTCAGGGCCATTTCCTGCGCTGGTCAGAACAGATATTTCTTTTGCAGTGGAAAACAGATGATCACCTGCATTTTCTTCTGCTGAGCCAGGTTCTTGATATCAACCACAAGGAAGAAAGAGGAGAAAAAGGAAAAAGCTACTTTACAAGGCATATTGTGATAACCGTGCCACGGGTATCTGCCTCAGCATTATCTGGTGTCCAATTGCTGGCAGGGCTGCCTTACCTCAGAGTGAGCCAAACCTTGTGGGCTGGTTCTGGCAACCTGTCAGATTGGTGAGAACAAGATTGTGGCAGAACACTCTGAAATGTGATGCTGAGCCGTCCTGTTTGTGCTTCCTGGGAACTTATGAGCCAGGGATACCTGAGGCACAGCGTGACCAACAAGATGTATTTGCAGATCTCTTGCATGTCGTGTAAAGTTTGTGTTGTTGAGTGCCACAGACAGAGGATACCAATGTTCTGAGTGAATTACCTTGCTTTATGAGCTTCCAGTAGTGATCTTATGGGTGTATCAGAATTCAAGGAAGCGGCTTGTAAACTGTAATTGTCTTTATGGCCACAGTAATTTCCGTTTCTGTTGCTACAGTAAGACTTATGTATTGCATTAACAAAACAAATGTTAATGTGGCATGCAGTATACGTTTTATGGCGCCGCAGATATGAGAGGGAAGGCGATGCTGTGTAATGGACTGCCACCTAGAGTCAGGAGCAGGACAAGGCAGAGCCGGGTTTTATTCGGCTCTGCACTGATAGCTTTAATGTGTGGGAGAGTTGGGTGATAGAGGGATTTATGTACTGGTGTAAATACCATCAAGATATTAACTCAAAATATTGTATTACTCATAGCCTTTCTGTAAGCTGGAGGCCTGGATCAAAAGTTGTCATCTTATCTAAAAGCTCTAGAATGTCAGCAAAATTGGAGAACATTGCCATTTTTTGTTTTTAATAAGGAAGGTCTGATCTCTGTCTTCCTGTTAGTGAAAGAGAAGCCAAGCTGCTTTTATAAAATTTCCCCCTGTAGAGTTATGTCATGAAAGCAGCATGTGATGCATGAACACAGAGGAGAATGTAAGGCAAAGTATTATTAAATAATAAAAGCTATTTGGAGGGAGAGATGAACATTCTATTTTTTACCTAACAGTGAAAAGAGTGTGGTCATTAGATACAGGGAAAAAGCATTATCAGACAAGTAAATAACGGCCAGCAATCACAGCCATAACTCCCCCTTGGAGCAATCAGGTTCACATCTACTGCTTCATGTGACCAATGTGTACTACATGATGTGCCAAAAAAAATATCTTCCGAAAGGAACAAGCATGAAAAATCTTGAGTTCTCCCATGACTACTGTTTGGTAACTAAGCCCATCTGCCCTCTACCTCAATGGTTGTATATTGACATGATTAAACAAAGAAAACCCTTCTGACACACCTCTCTTCTCTTGGCAGATTTGCAGACAACGGCATTGGGCTGACCCTGGCAAGGTAGGTGTCACACAGCTGGTGCTCAGCCTGGGGCACAGGGGCGGTGTGAGCAGCCTTTCACCTCCAGCCCTTTCCTTCCTAGCGGTGGGACCTTTCCCCACGATGATGGGTCTAAGCAAGAAATCAAGAACAGCTTGTTTGTTGGTGAGAGTGGAAATCTGGGCACCGAGACGATGGACAATGAGATCTGGGGACCTGGCGGCTTGGATCACAGGGGCAGGACCCTGCCCATCGGCCCGTAAGTTCAGCTCAGTACATCATCACACTCACTATTTCCACTCTCAGTACCAGCTCCAGCACAGAGTGGTTTCTTCAGCACAGTTTGATTTTGAAACTTGCACACAAAGGATTTTGGTTCCATGCCTCTCAATCCCAAAGTCCTAGCCCAGATGTAGTTACAGAGCTCAGCACTACTGTCACTACTACAGCTGTGCTACAGGAATTTAATTCCTTCATTAAATAGTTTCAAAACATCCAGAGAACTTTGTGTGTGGCCTCTTCTTTAGTCCTACGGATTGGTTTGCACATGAAGTAATGTTTTGCTGTTGTTCCTGAAAGCGTAGTTATCCTAATGGTAGCTCTGTGGTGACCAAACAGCTCAGCTGATGTTTTTCTGCCACGTTATGTGTCTCAGCTTTGTTTTTTTGGTAGTGATGCAATAGGTTTTTATAGTGATAATGAAAAGCCTAGGACTCTCCTAAATGTCCTTTCCATTTAAGTAAATGGGTGTATATCATTGTTAGTATTGAGTGCTGATACTCACAGTGGCAAAACTGTGAACTTGCAACCATTGATATGAGCAAGGGATAGAACTGGCTTATTATAAGTGAAATATAAAATATCTTCTCCTCTTAAGGTGTTTAAGCATCACATTAACTTAATGTTAAAACACTGTCATCTTTACCTTGCAGCTTCTATCAGGAAAGGCTCTATTTTAATAAAGTTTCACAAGTTTGTGTCCCCTCAATTGTTTTCAGACTGATTGGTGAGATCTTTCCTTGTTTTCAAATTCATTTTTACTGCATTTGAATTACACTGTTTCTCCTCCAGTTGGAGAAAGATGTGCTGGTACATTCCCAAGGAGTCTGTGCTGACCTGAAAAGTTTCAGGTTTCGCTGCTGCAGAACTCATTTGTGATGGCCAGCATGAATTTATTCATTTCTAGGTCAGTGCCTTAGCATTGCTGTAAGTTGCTTCCCTTGAGGAGTGCAGACTAAATAAAGGCGATCAGCCTCAAACATGAGAGAACTTGAGATGAACTTACAAGGTTAAGAAGACTTCACAGACTTAAAAAGCAGGGAAATCCCTTCTCTTCCAAACACTAACTCAGGAGCTGCTAAAAAAAAGCAGCAGAGAATCAAGTGCTGCAGGACTGTCCACATCCAAGATACATTATCAACCTCATGCCTATGTCATGACTGTCTGTCTCTGTCTCTTTCCAATGTGTTTTAGGAATTTTCCCATTCGAGGCATTCAGTTCTACGATGGCCCAATCAATGTCCAGAACTGCACCTTCCGCAAATTTGCTGCCCTGGATGGTAGGCACACGAGTGCCTTGGCCTTCAGGCTCAACAATGCCTGGCAGAGCTGCCCAAACAACAACGTCACTGACATTCATTTTGAAGACGTCCCTGTGAGTTATCCTTCCCAGCAAGGCCTGTCAGTTGGCTTGGAAGTGGGTTTATGGGCAAAAAGGGTGTAACAGCCTTTTGGAGAAAACAGGAGTTCCGCAAGAGCTGCCCGTTGTCTTTGCCAGAAGCAAAGAGAGTGGCAGCTGAGAAAGTAGGATGGATGAAATAATAAGCAAATCTGGTTTGGAGCAAACCAGAAGTATAAAAAAAAAAATGATGTCAAGTGAAAATCACTTCCATTCTTGTGTGTGTCAGAAACTGTTAAAACAGAGAGAAGAATCTGCACATGGGCTCCAGTTCTGCAGACATAAATGAGAGCAGAACCCAGCCAAAAAGAGGCTGACAAATGCTGAGTTACAGTATGAACTTCTGGGTGCTGCTCTGAACCTCATCTGGGGGTCTGTGCTTTTAGAGTTATTTCTGTGTTTGCTTGCAGAAATATGAGTGAACTCATTGCTAATGTTCACCTCTAGCAGCTGTTAAATCCAACTGCCAAACATGACAAACAAATAAATAAAGTGGTTGGAAGTGAAATTATTTGGGTTGCTTAACTTTCAGAAAGTTAGCAGACTTGCTCAGATGTCAGGAAAAGTGCTGACTGGTTGGTGGTCCTTGTGCCAAATACGATGGGAAAGGCAAAATTCCCCTAAAAGTGTTGATCTGTCACTCTCTCACATCACACCAAGTAGGCTGGTAGGCTGGTGACATGACATTTATTTATGCTGGATAAAAATATCAGTCAGAAGTTGCCTGAGCAGTCATTTCCCAAAGGAGGTCGCTGACTTTTCCCAGCATTGGTATGACTTTATGTGGCTTTGGAACCTTAAAAATATATTATCAGACAATGAGTGAAGTGGCCTTAGTGAAATTGCTCTGTCTCCTGAACCTTCCTCCAGAATTTTAAAACAAACCTTCTCATTGCTACAGCTGCAATTCTAGTTGTTTTAGCCTTTCCACCGAGGTCAACAGGAAAATCTGTGTCTGCTCTCTCTGACAAATCAGACACACCTTTAAGAAGCATGACCCAGCTCTACATTCAGACTTAACGAAGAGGCAGTGTGCAGGTGAAGGAGAGGAAACCCTAACAGTCCTGCACCAAATGGCACTGATGTTTCTGCCAACTAACAAGACCAACTCAATCGAAACTGATTTTGATGCTTTCATCTGTGGGTGCTCCATTTCAGAAGTTAGTAGTTCTGTTAGCATGTAAATGTTATCTTGGAATACCTGCCACTCCAAACTTCATCTGGAGGCATGGAGCTTCAGTGCCATTGAACATCAGGCCTGCAGTGTGTCATGCTGAGCAGCCAAAAATCCGTGGCTGTTTGAAGAATGACGATATTAGTGCATACAATGATTTCTTCATATATTAGTTTGCCCCCAAAGCCAAAAACCTTTCTGGTCTGTTGAGCCATTTCAGTGACCACAGCTTCCTTTGCTTTGTACTGTAAGTAATTAATTCCTTTCTAGTGACATGAATGTGTTTCACTATTTTGTTTAGATTACCTCAAGGGTCTTCTTTGGAGAACCTGGACCCTGGTTCAATGATCTGGATATGGATGGTGATAAAACATCTGTTTTTCATGACGTAGATGGTTCTGTGTCTGAATATCCAGGCTCTTACCTGATAAAAGAAGATAATTGGTTAATCAAACACCCAGACTGCATTGATGTGCCTGACTGGAGAGGTTCTATCTGCAGTGGACACTATGCACAGGTAAAGCTGCTTAATTTGATGCATCATTATCACTTTAATTATCTTGGCATTGTAAAGCATGACTTCTAGAAACGTGCTTTCTGCAGAGTGCTCGGGGTTTAACTGCATGTGTGCGCAGGAGGTTTTGAATACGAAGATCTTGTGCTTTGATTTGGACACTTTGGGCTGAAACAGCTTTTACCCCACAAGCACTAGCAGATTAATATTCATAAATCTACCAGCTACTGGGTAAGGAAGGGTTATCTCCTCTCACTCCAAGGAGGGAAGTGCTCCCCACAGGACTATGGTAAGCGTGCTGAGGAGTCAAAATTAGACTTCAGCTCTCATGGTCTTTCATCATCCTGTTGAGTAACCACCAAACCATTCTTCCCACCATGTGAGCTTTCACCCTACTGTCTGGAGAGAGTCCTTGTTTTTCTCTGTTTTTGGTTTTGTTTTTTTTTTTTTTGTCTTAGGTGTTGAGAGTGTTGCTTTCTCAGCACAGTGCCACTGAAGTCAAGCTGTAACCACTGGGCTGGTTTTCCTTCTCAAATCCAGACAGAAAGGTCCTTTTTTAACACAAGTCAGATGTTCCACAGCCCCACAGTCCCACAGTATTAATGTTTTCCATTAATACTTCAGCTCTACTGTAGGCTTATCTGGGGCCTTAACTGACATAGTTTAAATAAGAAAATGATCTTTACATTTCCCATTTTTAATTTTTTATTAAAAAACAAGAAAAAACACCCAAACAATCTATTTTTTTTAGAAAGAAATAAGCTGAAGAAACTGAATGTACATGTTTTAAGTATATGGTGTACAGGTCACTGTTGAAGTGACCTCACACAAGTTCGCAGCTGTAGAGTAGCTGAACCTTTAATGTTTTACTGTAATTCATTAAACACTTGATGATCTTTTTTCATCCAGATATACATCCAAGCCTACAAGCCAGCCAACCTCAAAATGAAAATAATAAAAAATGACTACCACAATCACCCACTCTACTTGGAAGGGGCTTTGAGCAAAAGCACTCATTACCAGCAATATCAGCCAGTTATAACTCTGAGGAAAGGCTACACCATTCACTGGGACAAGACAGCCCCTGAAGAGCTGACCATATGGCTCATCAACTTCAACAAGTGAGTGATCCAACTGAATTCCAACATTCCAGCTTAATAATGTAACTGCACATTTTTAGTGGGTGAGGTCATTGCTGTGTGAACTCTTCCAGAATTAACATAATTGTTCCAGGAACTCCTTTGAGTTCACCATCTTTTCATTTGACATCTCAGATTCCTGTTGGCTCCCTGGGGAAGCCCTGGAAGATAACACAGTCCTTTTTAGAAGCCTAGATAATGCATTCCTGTTGCATAGAAGTCAGAGGTGTAGAAGTCAGGAGCAGATCTGACCCCTGTTGCTTAACCAACCCGTAGAGGTTATGTCTAATTTACATTGCATTGATTGATCCCCAGCCGTTACAATTTTAACTGGCCAGGAAAAGAAAAAGTTACATTTTGGAGTGAAGTATTTAGTTTGGCTTTTAACATGCGCAGGAAAATTAATAGTAATGCGTCGACTTGTTACAACCTGAGTCTTTGCTATTTCAGGAACGACTGGATCCAAGTAGGGTTTTGTTATCCTAAAGGGTCGACATTTTCCATTCTCTCAGACATCCACAATCGTCTCTTGAAGAAAACAATCAAAACTGGAACCTTTTATAGGGTATCTCAAATGGAGAAACTGGAGTACAGATATCCTAGCAAAGGATACTACTACTGGGATGAGGACACTGGGTAAGGAAATGACCCTTGATGATTTGGACACCTTTTTGAGAAAGCTGCTGGAATTCTGAGCTGTTTGGCGAATGCCATCAGTTGGGATCACAGCAAAACCAGAAATTCTTTCTGGGAATGTGACCAGCATTTAATTTTCTTGGGACTCCCATAGTTGCCAGTCATTTGCAGGCCATGCTGTGCTGTCCTGCCAGTTCCTCTGGGAAATGCTTTGCTAAGTGAATACAAATTAGGAAGAAAAAAAAAAATGCAGACCATAGTACTGAACGGGAGACACACCCAACCTTTTTTGTTTTGAACAGCAACCATTTAGAAGACCTAAGACAGGGAGGCACAAGAGTGCAAAGTCTGTTGTTTTCTTTTACAGAACTAAGAAAATGTGAGAGACTTGAAGAAAGAGTTCTAAAATACAAACTATGTATTTCTGTGTAAATGGACATTGTGAAATAGAGCTCAAGGGCAGTTTAGATGTCAGCTGACCTCTCTTAGGTTTCCTGACTTTCCCAAAACATTTTTGGGATGCAGGCATCCTTTTAAATGTATGTAACATGTTTATTGTTATAAATTCCTCAAACCAGCACAGGGGGTTTTCCACACACATTATTGCAAAGTATTAGGAAGGAGTCCACCGAACCTTAGTCACTTTTTGCGTTGAACTCAAGGATGCTCTTCACTTTTCTCCCTTATGTACAGGCTGCTGTTTCTGAAACTTAAAGCTCAAAATGAAAAGGAGAAATTTGCTTTCTGCTCTGTCAAAGGCTGTGAACGAATAAGGATCAAAGCTATGATTCCAAAGACTGCTGGAGTCAGTGACTGTCAAGCCATGGCTTACCCCAAGTACATTGAGACGCCTGTAGTAGAAGTGCCAATGCCTAAGAAGCTATCTACTGTACAGCTGGTAAAGTAGTTGATTTCCTATCACAAAATTGTCTGTTGTTCTAGCCCATATTGTTCCTCTACTCATGAAAAGGCTTTGTAATGGATTTAGTATATTTCATGCCTGTTTTTATGAAGTGGATGAGACATGAGAAATTGTATGAAACAGATTCTTGCAAGTGCCAAGTATGAAAGTGTTCAAAGGACAGAGCAGTTCAAGTTAAGTACCCAGTCTTTTGAGTCTCTATTGGGAAGTGCCGTGCTTAAAAACAGGATAAATAGTGGTGAGCTGGAAGAGGGCTTGGTCCAGGGAATGTGATGCTGCAGAGATGCAAGCTGTCTTTCCAAGCTGTAAGGACAACAGCAGCAGACAGGGGACTGCACAGCGGAGTGTCTCCTTTGTATATAGGATTCTGCACAATGCTATGTGTCCTATATTCTATCCAGTCTGATTCTGAGAGGAAGGAGAATATTTATCTCATCATCCTTGAAGCAGGAAATCATAGCAAAGCCTCAGAGAATTGTGTATAAGCACCATGAAGTGAGAATCACAGTCGGCCATTTGGTGAAACAGTTTAGACACAGACAGGATGAACAGAGAGGTGGACATTGTGCCCAGTCTCATTAGCAATGCAATTTGGCAAGTCACAGCTCATTCTGTAGCTGTCTTCTTGACTGAATTTTGTGGTTTAAAATGTTTACTGAAGGTGCAGCACTCATGTAATGGACACTCTCATTAAAATCTCTTTTTTCTTTCTTTTTTTTTCTGAACAGAAAACAAAGGACCACCTACTAGAAGTGAAAATAGAAACTTATAAGAAACAATACTTCCACCTGAAGGATGACTATGCATACATCGAGGTAAATGGGTCTTCTCAGTAAACTTTATGGGACAAAAGATTTGAGTCACTTTTCCTTTGAATTTTACAAAAAATAATTAAAAAAAAAGCAGGTCAGCTTGACCTCAGAGATCTGGAAATCTGCCCTTTGATGTAATAAGCAGTCCCCTAATTCAAGGCTATTAGTGCTTCTTAGAGTTGATTATTTTGCATTTGTGTTTCTTCAATAAACTGACATGCTCCTTCCCCTCTCCCACAGGTTGATGGTGTAAGGTATTTCCTCACCGAAGAGGGTATTCAGCTGATAGTGATCGATGGACATCATGGGAAAGTAGTTGATCGAGTAACATTCAAAAACTCAATTCTGCAAGGAATCCCAGCGCAGATAGAAAACTATGTCAACAACATCAGAAATCAGTGAGTAATTGGGTGCTGGTAAGGCATAGCATATGAGAATGCTGTATAACACATTTTTTTGTGGTTTTGGTCACCTAACATGGACCAGACTGACTGAGCTAACAGTGTGTGCTTTTGTACCTACAGACTTTGAGTCCAAATGTGAGCAGGACATGCAGGCAGCTGAGGGTGCAGAGTGAGATTTAGGAACTGATTGAGCCTCCAGTAAGCTACATTTGATTAATAAACTGCAGATCCACACTGATGCTGTGGGTTAGAGACAACAGAAGGCTTAAGTTCAGAAATAAACTTGAGCACATATTGGTACAGATGTACAGCTTACATTTTCCTACTGCCTGCACACTTTCTCAAATAGCAGAAAGTCCTGCTAATAAAATACATTCCTCTTTGCATCTGTCCCCTACCCATACCTAAGATCTCTATGCTTCATTTTTTAAGCACCTAGAAATGCAGTTTTTCAGTTTTTCACCAGATGTTCTTGCATATAGAAGAACAGTGGGTTTATTTGCTGGAATAGTGAAGGAAACAGCATCAGAAGTCTTTTATCCAAAGGGATTGTTCCTACAGTGGTTTGTGGAATGCTATGGGAAGTGAATACCTTTCCTTGCTATGAAATCTGTTTTGATTTGAAAACCAGTACATAACATTTAATACAAATGTGATTGCTTTGCTGATGAGCCATCTGGTGGGCAAATTGACAGGGTGCTGTTCTAGGATTTATTCTACAGACTTGGAGGAAGTTTTGTCATTGTACCAAGCTTGTCAACACAAAAAAAACGTTTTAAATAACTCTAAAGGTTGCAAAAAACATGTCAAGTGGTTACTACAGAAAAGCGTGCTAGTTACTCACTTTTCTTTCATTAAACAATCAAAGAAAAAAAGGACCCATCATTCTTTGCTAAAAAGTACAATCTTAAACCTGTCTAAAGCCTGCTGCTTGGGTTCTTTCTTACTTTAGAGGATGAGTTGTTAATTAGGCTTTAGGTGCATTTAAGTCAAGCTGAGCCTCATTGTTTCATTTTGATGATTAGGATTGGAATTAGGATTAGGTTACAATTAGGACTGGAACTGTATGCAAAACAGCCAGCACCTAGGGTGTCACTCAGCTGTGTGTCCTTGTGAGGGCTGAAAACTCAAAACATTCTTTTCCTCTAACCAAAAGCTTTCCCAGCCCTCCCCCTGCTGGCCTTTCCAATTCCATCAGGCAAAGACTTCAGCTATGACCACGAAACTCCTTTAATCCATTGCTGCACGAGGTGCCATCCAGCTGCAGGTGGGCACCACGCAGTTGGAGGGACAGGACAGCTCTCTGCCCTCTTCAGCACAGATTCCAGAATGTCTTGCCAGCCTCTCATCAAGATACTGCTCAAAAGACTTTTAAATAGATTTACAGCTTTGTGGATGTGAGAGGAAGTGCTTCTAGCAATAAGTCTTTCAGTTCCTCTAAGCAACTCTCTTCAGGCCAAATTCCATTTTTTTAAGCCAAAAAATCAATTTTTGATAAGTTCTCCAGGAGTAAGAAAACAAAACATTAAGTGAATTTATTTTAAAGAAGACATCTAATAGAAATTAAAGATTTTACTGAACTCAAAGTAGAAAAAAGAGCATTCACAAAGCAGCCAAAAGCAGCTCAGCAGTGCAACCCATGGATTATTTAACACATCAGGTTTACTATAGGAAGAAACCCGATGGATCATAATTCTTTTACTTCCCTTTTGCCACCACCCAGTGCTGTTTTCCCCTGAACAGTTCCATATCCAGTGCAGCTGTTCGGGTGTAACTGCAGCACTCAGCAGCTCAGGGTTGGAGCTCTGCAGGCATTGCTGCCAAATTAATTTTAGCAACTTGTGTCCACTGTGATGCAGGAAAGCAGACCCAACAAGGCTCTTGTTTTGCAGCACTGCAAATGCCAGTTGAGTCAGACAAGCTTCAGTTGTGGAAACCTGCAAGGTGGAATGAAATTATTTCATATAGGCAGATGTTCAATTATTCTGCCTCGCAGATATGCAAGAACAGGGCATCCCATCCCTACTAAATGTCATAGCAAAACTTTCACTAGTAACTAAAAAAAGAAAAAAAAAAAAAAAGAAAAGAAAAAAAAGGAATTCTCTCTGCTTCCTAATAGGATTTGTTGGCATTATTGGAAAAGTGACCATATGACTAAGCTGTCAGCATTGACAAAAGCCATTAAAGCAGAAAGCATTGCAGCTCATAGGTGACTTGGGGTTGCACAGACGGGTTAACAGATCTCAAGCCAGAAAAGCAAGGAATGGTTCCTAACTCCTCACCTGTTTATAAATGACTTTTTGTTCCCTTCAGCTCTATAGTGCTGGTGACATCTAAAGGAAGATTCATTTCAAGAGGACCATGGACTAAAGTACTGGAGAAACTTGGAGCTGAAAAAGGTTTTAGTTTAAAAGGTAACTGCTTCTAAAAAACACAGTTCTAAAAACCCTTTGATTATTCCCCTGTGTGGTTCTCATAGAGGCACCTTTTCTGGGCTTCTAAACTTCACCTTGCCTGTCCTATCAGCATGTGCTCAGACATCCTGGGAGAAGGCATTTGCTTACTGGGAAAGGCTGTATCTATTGCAGCATCAAGTGCTGTAGATTTACTGCAGAAATCAAGTGTCTCGATTACAAAGCATCCCATACTGCACTAGTATATAATTCTTCCATGCATGTAGCTCTGATTAGCTCTAACCGCAAACCTTTGTCTTTTCCTGAGCATATGCAAACACTCCAACAACAATACCTTCAATAGTCAGCTCTGAAGGGGGTTTCCTGATCTCTTTCTTTGCTCTGTATTACACAGTGGCTACTGATAATTAATGGAAGCATGGAAGTTATGTATACAATTTTAATTAAACCTGATATGGAAAATATTTCTTTAATTCCTCAGTAGTGCATTATCAGCAACATTTGTATGCGCTTTTGTGCTCCTGACCACCTGCATCGGTCCAGCAGTCTGGGTGTAGCCACCCATGTGGGTGTCTACAGCCCTGATATGCTTCTAATCTATTTGCTCTGATTTGCAGAAAAAATGGCTTTTGTTGGATTCAAAGGCAGCTTCCGTCCTGTCTGGGTGAAGCTGGTCACTAATGAGGACTCAGCTAAAATCTACCAAGCACTGCCAATTCCTGTGGTGAAGAAAATGAAGTTATGAGGACGCAAAGCTTTGCCTTCTTCTGGCTGCCAGCACTGCCCCACTGGGATGGACTACTGACTGTTCATGACAGGCACATTACAGTGTGCTCCAGAAGCATAGCGTTTTGTTGTTGTCGTTGTTCAAAAAAAGAAATCTTACTGTAAGTAGCTAAAGTGGCCGCATGTGATGGAAACGCATTCCTCTGTGATCAGCGCGTGTTCTGTGATCGTCGGCACTTCGCCAGTTGACTTCCATTGATGTTGACGCTCATGTTACTAAGCAAGGTTTGACCTGATCTGCAAGCTGCTGGTTTTATCAGCACGCCTATGGCGTGTTTTCTCTGGAAAGGTGAGATCTAGGGCTAAAGGCCACTGAGGATTGTTGTTTGTACCAACCTCTAACTTGTCCAAACACTCTTCTTTCCCCCTGGAGTAACCAGCCAACTCAAAGCCTTGAAAATCTAAGGTAAAAAGTGTGGATTTGAATGACTACTTAGATGCTGCGAAATGTAACTGGACAGCAAGACTGTACCTTAAATTTTCTGTGACAACTTATCAAGCTCTTTGGGATCTGTGTTGTACATACTTGGCACATAGTTGGGGAAGAGAGAGGAGAGGAGTTAAGCAAGTATACAAGAAGAGACTGATGCAACCACATCTTTCTGCTTGTTCAGAAAACCGTGGTTCTCCTGTACCTTCAGGTCTTTTAATAGTGGTTTCTCAAATGGGAGGTTTTCCTTCAACAGCAGCCATAGTCTAGAAGGAAAGACCTGTCAGTCAGCACCAACACTTCCAGCCCTTTCTCTTCAGTCTGACCATATATATATTCAGGACCAATCTAGGAGGTGTATGGTAGACAGTCAAAAAGGACATCCTGTTCAAGATTTCCAGTTCTCAGCTGGGAATACTGAGACTTGTGTTTCTCAGCTACAAATGGGTTGAGCAGCACTTAGCTTTCCAGATTGGGTCAGTCTCTTGGGTGTTGCTTTCCAGCCAAGTCTTTGGCCTTTGGGCCATGAGTATCTTGACCTCCTGGAAGAGTTATGTGAGTGGAAGGTGGCAGAGGTAGAAGTCTTTGAGGTCTTACCAGATAGCTGAAGAATTAGACTGGGAATCCCCATATGCTAGTTGGATGTTGTGTACCTGCTTCCCCCTTCCTTCAAAGCATTAGGCTGGTAATAAAGGCAGATCAGTGAGAGTCAGGACTCCTGCACAGACATTTCCTGAAGGTGGGAATATAAGCATTATCTTGTAAAATACTTTAAGCACTTCTGATGTTCAGTGATGTTTCTGTTTGTTGCTCAGAAATGCCATGAAAGCGTATGCAGAGGCAGTGGCTGTTATAAAGAGGTTTAAGAGAGAAGTTTTAAAAGTAAATATGAAAGTCAATTTTCCCAATACCTGGGTTTCTTTCCCCTCTTTGTCTCTCCCTGTCCATATTACTACAGAAATTATTCTGACTGCTGATAATTACTTCATTTTGCTCTGTTTTAATTAGAACTCCAGTAACTAAATTGTTCCCCCCCCCTCCCCCACTTTCCAAAATACTGTCCTTTAGCTAGAATGAAAGAGCAATGATGCGCTGCAGGTCATCCCACAACAGGGCTGATGCTGAACTCTGTCAGCCCTGTCCCTCCTTTTTAGATCAATATCTCTGAAAGGAAAAACAATTGTGAGAAAAAGTCAGATAGCACTGTAGGCTATATTTCCTTCCAGCCTCTCCTGGGTTTTGAAACTGGAAATGTTCTTTTCAAGCTTATATCCAAGCTTTCCCTTTTTCTTCCCTTGCTTCTCAACAAGAGCCTTTTAATGAAGGAGCAGCACAGTTGTTTTTGGGTTTGGAGCATTTGCACTGTTTCTGGAATGGATGGACAAGTTAGGTGGTGGTGGTGGGTTTTTTTTTTCTTACGAAGGTTTGGGGAATTTCACCATCAAAGCACAAACTCTTCCTTGGAAAGGTCCCTTTTTAGTTCAGCCAAACATCACTTACCTGACATTCTCTGATAGGTGAAACAGAATCAGATCCCTGAAATTGAGAAATACACTGAAAAAATGTCCCTGAGTGTGTCAGGCTGGTTTATCTACACATCTTCATTCCTATAATTGCACCTGTACCAGTGGAGTACACGTGCTTCCATGAGATGGACCAAAGTGTGAGCATTTCTTTCATGAGCACTTGACATGGGCAGGAAAGCAAGGTTCAGAATGTACCTGGTTTGGGATCTGGTTTTCCACACCCCACTCTGTGAAGCACTTCTTCCCTGGTTGCTGGAGGCTCCCTATAACTATACATGTGCAGATGCCCAAAGGACCGTGCCCTAGGCTGGCTTCCTCTGCATTTGTGCTAGAGTTGTAGCTTCTGATTTTACAATTTTTGGAATTCTCAGGGTGAAATCACAAGACTTGGCTCTAGGAAAACTTCTTCCTAAGAAAATCTTGTCTTATTAAGAGAAAAACACTTTAAGTAGCTCATTCTGTCATGTAAAGCTTGTCACCTGGGGCCTGTTTGGAGCTAGGGCTGGGTCTCATGCTGTGAATACTTAGGACAGGATCACTGCAGTCTGTAAGCCTGAGGGATAATGGAGCATCATAGCAGTGTACCGGGGCAGACACTCCTGTGAAATGCAAAGGACTCCCACTGACGTGAATTGGATGAAGTCAGTGGGTTACTCTGAAGTCACAGCTTAGCCTGATGCCATCACCAGTCAGCAATAGTTTTGTGCCATATGACTCCTTTTTAATCTTTAACTGTTGTAGAAATTGCACGTGCACATTTTGACTAGTGAATTAACTGGCTGCTTGTACTTTGTATGTCCATTTAACGATCCCTGCACCAGCTGCAATGATCCTCTTTATAAGGTTTTATTACTGCAAACGTTCCCATCTCTGCCTACCCAGTTGCTGTTGTCAGAGTGATTTTTTGATTGTTTTTTTGTTCAGATGCTTGTTTGGTTGGATGTTTGGGTTTTTTTTTTTTGTTGTTTTGTTTTTGCATTCTGTTCAAATGCTTGTTGTACCTGTCGCCGAAATAGCTGGTCCTTTTTCGGGTTAGATGTATAGTGTTTTGTACATTTTCTTAGAGACTTTCCAATGAAAAAGATATATTTTCTATTTATTTATTACAATGGCACTAAGACAACTAAATTGCAGACATACGAAGCATCTTTACTGGAGTTTAGCATTGGCTAGGTTGTTAAGGAGGTCGGCAATATGGCTTTTCTGATAATCTGCTTTGCACTTGAAAGCTCTCTATGTCCGCAGAATGTGGTAATGAATTGACTGTCTGTTTTGTGGTGACAAGAGCTGTCGGGACATTCGTTCCAAAAGATTGTGGCTTACAACTGAAATAACATGTAGTTGTTTGGAGTACACAACGTTTATCAAAATAAATATTCAATGCCAGTTTCTCATTTTACTTTTGTGTCTTGCCTCTTCAGTGTACATCTGTAATGATCAGCTGGCGTTTGCTGGAATAGCTCCTTCTGCAGCCAACAGTGTTCAGACCATTGCACCCAGTGCGTCAGCTTTGCTCTTAGCAGCTTGCTTTCCTAAGGGGATACAGGTGATGCAGTGTTGCTAGGTCTGAAGTGGAGACCAGCCCAGGACATGTTACATCATCTGAGAGAGATACACTGCTCCTTGGTTACATTCAAAGACAAAACCTTTGAAAACCTCTTCCATGTGAGGACGTGGGGAGGTCCTGGTGTCCTCTCAGCCCCATGTCTCTCACCCTATAAGCACTCCCCTTGTTGCTGGAGGCAGGGGATGCTGTGGGGTGTGAAGGGCACTGAAAGGAACCCTGCTGCTGTGATCTGTCACACCACAACACAATGAAGAGGCTGTTGGTAGAAACTCCAGCAACACTGGAGTTGTTCCATGCCTGTGCTTCTCTAAGCTCCCTAGCAACTCCTTCACGTTATAACCACGGATATCTGAAGTTCACACCACTATTAACAAGGTTACCAGCACCCGAAAGACAAGAGCTGAAAGCAAGAACAGAAAAGCAGCAGGCCCTCTCTGTGCATACAATAGGGAGGATGATTAATATCCATAAAGCAATGTGAAATATGTAATAGATTGGATATTCGTGAGATCTCACATGAGATGGCACATGGAGCCACATTGCCAGCCTCTGCCAGCAGCACTGCAGGGGCTGCAGTGCCTTCAAGTGCCTCAATCCATATCTATGTCCAACACCAAAAATAACCCATTTAAAAGTATCTATTTATTAGAATTATTACTATTAATTTAAGTGATGGTAACGACCTGCTTTTGCTAAAAGAAACATCTATAGCTGCAGTGACACTTATAACATCAACAACAAGGACAATGCTTTATTAAGTAGCATTATACTGTTCCACTGTTCTGTTACCCTTAGTGTGAAGAAGTTTCTTCTCATATTGATGTGGAACCTCCTACATTCCAGCTTGCACCCATTGCCCCTTGTCCTATCATTAGATGTCACTGAAAAGAGCCTGGCTCCATTCTCCTGACACTTCCGACCCTTTACATATTTATAAATGTCAAGAGGTCACCCCTCAGCCTCCCCAAGCTAAAGAGACCCAGCTCCCTCAGCCTTTCCTTCACTCCCTTAATCATCTTTGTGGCTCTGCACTGGACACACTCACACAGTTCTTTGTCCTTCTTGAAATACCAGGCCCAGAACTGACACAGTACTCCAGATATAGCCTCACCAGGGCAGAGTAGAGGGGAAGGACAGCAGGGTAGAGGAAACAGCACAGTGCTGGGTCATGATCATCCTGCTGTTCACCAGGGCTCCCAGGTCCTTTTACCTTATGCTGCTCTCCTAAAGGTCAGTCCCCAGCCTATACTGGTACCCAGGGTTGTTCTTGTCCAGATGCAAGACTACACTTGCCCTTGTTATATTTCATTAAATTTCTCCCTATCCAATTCTCCAACCTGTCTAGGTCTTGCTGGAGGGCAGCACAGCCTTCTGGTGCATCAGCCACACCTGCCAGTTTTGTGTCATCAGCAAACTTGCTGACAGTGCATATATAAAATACGTATCTTTATATAAAAGTATAAATATAGCACTGGTTCCAGTACTGACCTTGGAGGGATTCCACTGGATACAGGCCTCCTACTAGACTCTGTCCCATTGACCACAATTCTCTGGCTTCTTTCCTTCAGCAAGCTCACAGTCCACCTCACTACTCAATCATCCAGACCCCACTCTCAGTTCAGCTGCAAGGATGCTGTGGGAGATGGTGTCAGATGCTTTACTAAAATCCACCACATCCATATCCACCACTTCACCATCATCTAGCCAGCTGGTTAAATCTCCAAAAAAAAAAAAAGGCTACTAGGTTGGTCAAGTATGACTTCCCCTTAGTGAAGCCATGTTGACTGCCTCTAATGACGCTCTTATCCTTGATATGCCTGGAGACAGCACCAAGGATAAATTATTCCATCTCCTTTGCAGGGATGGAGGTGAGGCTGAACTGGTCTATGGTTACCTGGGTTCTCCTTCTTGCCCTTTTTAAAGACTGGAGTGACATTAGCTTTCCTCTAGTCCTCAGGCACTCCTCCCATCCACCACAACTTACTTAAGATAGTGGAGAGTGGCCTAGCAATAACTTCTGCCAGCTCCCTCAGCACCCGTGTGTGCATCCCATCAGGACCCATGGATTCATGGATGTCCAGATTGCTTAACTGGTCTCTAAGCTCATCAACCGAAGCAAATTACTTCATTATCCTGACTTCCTCTGGGGCCTCAAGGTACATGCCTCTGCAGAGCAGCCTCCAGCTGTGTAGACAGAGACAAATAAGGCATTTATATCTGCAACATATTTGAAGAAGCCCTTTCTGTTGTCTTTGACCCCTTAATTCTAAGGAGGCCTCAGTTTTCCTAGTTGTCTCACTACATCCTCTGACAACAGCCTTATACTCCTCACAAGTGGCCAGTCTTTCCTTCTGTAATCTGTAGGCTCCCTTCTTCCACTTGAGTTTGCCCAGCAGTTCTCTGTTTGACCTTGCAGATCTCCTGGCTGCCTTCCTTGACTTCCTACCTGCTGGGGTGCTCTGATCTTGCCCTTGAAAGAAGCAGTCCTTGACTGCTATCTTTACCTTTACCAAGTACCCTGTCCCATCGTATTTCTGCTAGCAATTGCTTGAAAAGGCCAAAGTTGGCCCTTCTGAAGTCCAGGGTTGTGATTCTGCTTGGTATTCTGTTTCTGCCACATGAAATACTCAACTCCACCATCTCATGGTCACTGCAACCAAGGCTGCCTTCAACCTTCACCACTTCAACCCATTACTCTCTCTGTTAGTGAGAACAAGATCCAGCAGCTGTCCTCTCCTAGTTGGTTCATCCACCATTTCCATCAGAAAAGTTATCATTAATGCACTGGAGGAACCTCCTGGACCGAGGCTGGATCGCTGGCTCGTGGCTGGCTTGAGTATGCCTTCCAGCAAATATCAGGGTAGCTAAAATCTCCCATGAATACCAGGACCTGTAATTGTGAGGCTGATATCAGCTGCCTATAGAAGGGCTCGCCAACTTCCTTGTCCTGATCCAGTGGCCTGTAATAGACAACCATAACATTATCAACCAGGCCAGCCTGCCCCTTCTCACCCACAAACTCTCAACTTGCTCATCTACTCCTGGACAGTACTCAATGAATTCTAGTTGTTCTCTCCCATAGAGAACAACCTTGCCTTGCTGGTCTGTCTTTCCTGTAAGGAACATGGCCATCCATGACATTAGTCATGTGACCTGTCCCACCATGTCTCTGTAATTGCCACCAGATCATAATCTCCTGCCCTAACACCGATTTCTGACTCCTGCTTATTCTCCATGCTACATGCATTCGTGTACAGGCTCTTTAGGGAGCAAGCTGAGCACACTGATTTCAACCCTAAGGAGAGGTGAAGCACCCCAGTCTTTATCAGTACTAGAGTGCTGCCCCACCAGTGCCAATCCAGCTACAACTCCATCCCACTTTGAATCTAGTTCAAAGCTCTCTGAATGAACCCTGCTGATTCCTGTCCCAGAACCCAACCAGCAAAATTGTTAAGAATTAGAAACATCACAGCACCAGTAAAATGGATCTGTAAAAGCAGAGGCAGCTCCATGGCTCTCTGCATTGCTATAAACATGCCATGCAATCAAGGAAAATTCTGAAAAAGGTAAATGCTCCCTCAATTAAAAAAAAAAAAAAAAAAAGGAAACGAGCCACAGAAAGAGAAGAAATATTTCCTGAGCCTTATTACAAAGCCCAAGATAACAGCGGCCAAATATCAAAGAGAAGTAGGCTGCCCTGTATCTTAATGGAATGTTATTTTATGATTTCCTTTTTGAAAAAGAATTTTAAAAATTTAGTAATAGTGACAGGGACCTTTTTGAAACCAAAGCTGACCTGGCTTCTCAAAGAGAAATGCTTTGACAGCACAAGTGAAAACCAGAAATCCTGTTGGCTGCAGAGCTGCTCAGTGTGTCACAATAGATAACAATGGAATTTAAAAAATGTGTCCTTCACTTAGAATGAGAGAGCAGTGCTGGAGACAAACCAAAAGAGATTTTTTCCTGCTGGAAAAGATGCAGAAGATGACCATGTAGCAGATAAGATAGAGATAAAAGCCTGCTAACAGCTACGGTTTCACAGTAATCCTATGACACTGAAATTTATTACATGTACCTCTTAGTGATGTAGTAATGACCACAAATCGAATTCTCACCTTTCCAGAAAGAAGCATTTACAATGCTTGAATGTCCTAAATAATAACATTTAGTCACTGCTGAGGGTGTTTTGTTCCATATTTAAGCACTAGCATTCACTTGTTATACAGGCTAGCTAGGTCTTCCATGTAGCGTAAACATCAGCTTTGCTTACTCACTTTGCTCCATAAAGTTAGGTCTCCAAGAATAGGGAATGCACTTGTTCTCTTACAGCTAGAAATATAAATTAGAAAAATAAATACATTCAGTAGAACAGATGAGGCATATGGTATACATTAGACTTAGTTTGAAAATGAAATCAGATGCTTATTCCAATATTTTAATCAATAAAATCAAATGAAAGGTTTTCACAAAGTATGACATTTTCTGTAGTAACATTGCCAAACTATCTTCTGAGAATGGCAGCTGGGTTAAAATACAAAGATAACCCAGCAAATTTAGTTGTGGCATTAGAACAGAGAAATAATTAAAGTGGAGTAGAGAAAGGCAGAAATTTAGTTGTCATGACAGCAGGCTTTTTTCCACATATCTGTGTGTAGAACTTAGATAAGGAGGCAAGAAGTTATCATCTCCAACTAAACAAAATCACCTTCAAGAAGCTCAGTTTCAATATGTATATATATGCAACATATATATACACACATGCATATATATTGTGTTTGGGTCTCTTCAATCAGTACAACATAACACTGCTTATATAAAGCTGCACCAGTCCA